GCTACTTCGTTAGCATGGCCTTTAATATATTGTATGTCAGAAGTAAATTGGGAAATAAACTCCAATTGTCGAATTTCCCTCGGCGAATAGTTGTCGTGCTTGGCGTTTAATGCTTTCGTGAGGGGTTTATGATCTGTGTACACTGTGAAAATGGTACCCTCAAGTATATGTCGAAAGTGTTTTATTGTCAAATAAATTGCAAACAGTTCTCTTCCGAACGTGCTGTATCTCGTTTGCGTGGGACTTAATCTTTTAGAAAAGAATGAAATCGGTTCCCATGTGTCGTTTACGAACTGCTGTAACACGGCTCCAACAGCGATGTTCGACGCGTCAGTCATGACGGCTAATGGAGCTTCGTTTTTTCGTCGTACCAATATTGTCTTTTCATTTAGCACGCGTTTAGCGTTCTCGAATGCCTCTATGGCGTCGGGTGACAAGTGAAATGTTCTGGCACGTCCACGCAAAGCGTCTGTTAACGGTTGCAATATTGCCGCGCAGTTCGGAATGAATCGTCTATAGTAGTTAATTAGTCCGAGAAATCGTCGTAATTTCTTCTTTGTTTCGGGCAACGGATAGTCACGAATAGCTGCAACTTCTGATGGGACTGGTGTGATACCTTGAGAATTTATTGTGTCCTAGAAATTGCAGTGATTTCTTACCAAATTCACATTTCTTAACGTTGATGGCAATACCGTGTTCTTGAAGTTTATTGAACAACTGTCTTAGTTGTTGTAGATGTTGTTCCGGTGTAGCACTAGCTACAAGTATATCGTCGATGTACACATATACGCCTGACAAACCTCTAACAACCTGGTCGATGAATCTCTGGAAGGTTTGAGCGGCATTAGTTAATCCGAACGGCATTCGCAAAAATTCGAATAATCCAAATGGAGTGATTACAGCCGTTTTTGGTATATCCTCATGCGCCACGGGAATATGGTAATAAGCCCTAACGAGGTAAATTTTCGAAAAGATAGTGGCGCCTTCCATATTGTTAGTCATGTCGTGGATATGTGGCACTGGATATCTATCTGCCACAGTTTGTTTATTGAGTGCTCGGTAATCTCCACATGGTCTGTACTCTCCGTTCTTTTTTAGTACCATGTGTAACGGAGATGCCCATGGGCTACTAGATGGCCGTATTATGCCAAGTTTCATCATTTTGTCAAATTCTTGTTTCGCAACGTTTAACCTTTTCGGGTCCAGGCGTCGTGGTCTCGCGTTACAAGGTGCACCTTTCGTTGCAATATAATGTTGCACCGTATGTTTGAGATCGGTATTATCGTAAGACACTTTTGTCAGGTCAGCGTATTCGTTTAGTAGCGATTTATATGGATCGTTTTTGTCTCCTGACACTACTAAATTCATAGATTCGTGATCAGTGATTATTCCTCTTATCACTACCGTACGGTTTGTGTTCAAGAGCTGGTTTCGTCGCGAATCTACTAATACGTCGAAATTCTTCAGGAAATCAATACCGATTATAGGTACGGATACGTCTGCTATCACAAATTCCCATCGAAGTGAAATGTTTCGACCGAAATCTAAAGTTATTTTCCGCTTTCCGTATGTTTTTATGTCGGATTTGTTTGCTGCTTTTAAAGTAAGCACCGTATTAACATTTCGTCGTTCATTACTAACGGGCGGCACAACACTTATTTCTGCTCCTGTATCGACTAAGAATTGAGCACCAGTTGTCTTGTCCTGGACGTAAAATAGACGACTGTTTTTAGGAGCTACGTCAGTTGTTGCAGCAGTTACTGATGATCGACGGGATCGTTTCCCTATTGTATTAGCTTTAAATGTGCATGGCAGTCTACATTTCCGAGCTCTTCTGCCGTACGTCTGGTGATACCAACATATCGTGGGAGCAGATGGTTCCCTAGAGCGTGATCGGTTTCTGTCACTCGAAATAATTCGTGACCATCTTTGTGGTCTGTCGTTTCGCGTCAGGTTCGTCAGCTTTTGGCGTAAAATACGAATCATTTTTTTTTAACTCTTCGATTTCACCATTTATTGGTGTGTGGTGTACCTGTGGATTCGGTGTTTCCGTTCTTTCGTAAATTCTGTCTGCAACACTAAACGGAGGAATAGCAATATTAAGGGACCTCACGGACGCCACTTGTGGCAGACTTGTTTCGTTAACTGAAGACATGTTAATGTACAATTTATAGTACGCGAATAAACTAAAAAAATAAGGGGATGAAATTAGATGGACGATAATAATGTTAACAACAATTAATAAAAGTTATAACACGGAACAGACTTACTAAAGTGCAGCAGTAAAACAGTTTTATGTATAATGACGTAATTCGTAATTGTTAATATTGTCAAAATATGTCAAATAATGTTTATGAAATAATTGTCATGCAATAACGATATGATAATGATAATAATCCAAAATGTTAATTTAATCCACAATAGTAATTCGTATCGAAATAGTTATTGTCAGTGATATTGCGGACGCGTTCGATTTGTGGTCGTAGTTTTTGGTCTGTCGTCGATATCAGCAAATTATTCCTGGGAGCGTCGAGGTTACCAATTTTTGTTGGAAGCGTCGATTTTTTGTCAGTATCCGGAAATATCCTGAGAACGTCGGGATTACCAGTTTGTAGTGTGCCGGCTTAATGCGTGTTCTTACGTTTCGTAATAAGCTCGTTCAGACTACCTTATCCAAATGACGTCTGACGGTTAATAAATCAGAAGATGAATTCCAAGTATCGTATACGTTTATTGAAGCACACCACAATTAATAACAGCAGACCACAGACAGACCGGGCAGACAGACTAGCGAGCGAATATGCGAATGTGCGAATGAATTAATGAGATTAAAATGTTCGTATATATACAAAGGAAAATGTCTGAGTCATCGTGGTATTTAAGAGATTAATATTAAAGCGAATAGGATGCATATGTGCGTAGGCGTTAAGCAATGCTCAGTCATACTAGCTCATACAAACCAGATAATAAAAAATACCAATGGTACATACAAGTTGTTGCAATACAAATGGCTTGGTTAAATAAATTAATCGAAAGGGCTTAACCAAGTTAGATGTGAGAGAAGTGAAATATATGTGGAGGCACTACACTTCTTCCAGTAAGTCGCAAACAAATACGCGCCGACACTAGAGCATGGTCTGAGTCTAAACAAGTGCTCCAGGATAAGCGGTAGTCCTCAACGGATCCTCTCTACTGGTGGCTGGAAGCAATGTGGTCAAGTTGTGTCCATCATTGGGTCGGCTTTGGGGGTCGTCAAATCAAGAGATGTTTTTTTTATTATTCTTAAAGTTAGTGTTGGCTAATAATAAGCGATTGTCTGAGCATAGCTGCATCAGACGGTTGCCATTATCTGTTCATTTAGCCGTATAAACACATAAGATTGACCCATGTGTCTTTTCTTTTCAGTCAGTCTACCTACTTGAGCACTAAAGTCACCAGCAGTTATCATCATATCAGAGAGCTAAAGTTAGAAAGGTTTCTATAAAATTCATCTAATATCTCGTTCGAGCTGCAGTCAATGGGAGCGTAGGCGGATACGACAAACAGGCAACTGGGTATTTCCCTATCTTCACAAGATCTTACTGTCCCGTTCAGTCGGGCAGCGTGTAAGCAAATGTCTACTGGGATCCACTCTAAGAGATCTAGTTCTACCCTCGGACTCAATGCTATACCTAAAACAGTGAGGCCACGGGAAGCGGCAGCAAGTCTTTCAGATACACGAAGCGTAAACCAAGCTGATTCTCTATCCGCACAAGGTGAAATCAAATTGATGAATTTACTCTATGCGCATTACGGAGATTCGAACACCGAAATCTCCAATATTTAGTTCAGAACGGGCTTTCAGGAGACCAGGAATCACTTTTCTTAAGCGGCGCAAGGTGACAGGGGAGCGAAGGAGATAAGAGAATTACTAGATGTAGAAATGAATTGATTGTGATTGATTTGGTCATGTGTGGTTTTACTTGTATGAGCGCGGTTGTCACTTCCCGGCTGCTTACATAATGGAATGGCTTTGCTCTTCAGAAGAGGCATCGGTGTATTGATCTCCGATGGAACTCGGCTTTCTCATGAGACGTCATAACACTTCGAAGACGTTCTAACTCCCAGGACAAGAGTTTATATGGTTTGAATTATTTTTTCTAGTTGGCATTTTTGCTAGGTAGATTTCTACAGGATGCGGTAACCAACAAACATCCCAACCCCCCTTCTTTATCCGGGCATCAGACTTACAGTAGCCCATGAGTGGCTATAGGCGGAGTTATTCTTAAGCCCTGAGCTTTAGGTATATGATTTAACCCCTTGAGAACTGCAGTTCAGAAGTTCATTCATTCGGTTATTTACTGAAGTCATATACACATCTGTCAATAAACATGTTTCACAAAAAACTCTTTTAATTAACAACTTCATCAGCTATGCTCATTATTAGACTACTAACATTTAATTTCTGTCGTTAACTAAGTCCGGTTTCCAAAGGCTGGACAAAGAAGCTAGATACATTGGCTGATACAGTGAGGAAAAACTTGAAATCAGGAAAGGATACAGAGTCAAATAACTGACACCACCATCCTCCGAGAGGCGCAATTATCATCAATACACCATAGCAAGTTGACATACGTAATTTCACTTAACTAATATCATTTACATATGGACTGTTTGAATGACATCTTTGTGCATAACAGTGTTACAGAATTTTATTAAATTATAAAGATAACCTTATGATGTGGCAGTCTATATTGAATTGTTGGTCCTGTCTAAGAAAAAAGCCTGGTGGGGACACTCGTAATGAAAGTATTCTTTTCAGCTAGTAGAGCTCTTTGTAATTTACAGCTTGTCTTCAGCTCCAATGAGTGAAGATATGAGAAGTCTTAGGTGTAATAGTGGGTGGTCGATTGAAAGAAAACGTGAGTTTTAATGCAGGAGCATGTAGAGATCTACGAGTGTTAATGTACTCTAGATTTCGCTCCTGACCTTGATGCATCTAACCTAGACAATCAGGCGCCTATCCTTTGGTCGATAGGGTTTTGTGCGACGTGATGTGAAATGAGGTGGATTCCATTTGAAGAGAATATTAAATGGGCTGTGGGTAAGATATTACATTCAGAAATTCCCTCGATCTTCAGTTGTCAACCCGTTCCGGAGTGATACTTGCGATAAACTTGACATTTCCATTGGCGATGATGTATTTGTTTTGAGACAATGTGAAGGTAAAATTCGCATAATAAGTCTATCATTGCCTTAAGAGTGGTTTTATGGATTCAAAATGAACGTTTGCTCTACGTTCGGCGTGTTTCCCAAGGCATGTGTTACATTTAAACGAGAGGAATTATCTGATGGAGTTAGTGCGGAATTACAGATGATGGTAGAAAAACTAATATCCATGTTTGTGGTAAGTTGTCATGATGTTCTATTTGCTGCAGTCTGGAAAGTATGGCAGGATGAGTAGACATTATACAGCTCTTTGTGAAGTTGTTAGTTTGAAGTATGCGCTTTCGGGGAGGATTACAAAGGTAGTTTTTCCAGTGAATAATAAATTTTGCAGTTCGATATTATTGCTAGCCTGAAAAAGCTTCATACCCATATGTCGGTGGTTCAGAGGTAAATTCGTATTACTTATTTAACATCGTGTAGTAAACTATTTTTGCCATTTATTATTCGGGATGAGAATTTTAAGTACGTCAATCCATTTTCCATATCTCCTATCGACTTACACTGGAAGCACAAAAAGCTTATAAAAGAACTTGAAGATTCAGAAGTTAGTTTTGCTCATTTATGAAAAATTATCCAACTTTTCTGTTTATGTGTTTACAAAATATACGACTTATTTTTGAGTGTAGTAACTGTAGTATCATTAACCTAAGGGATATTACTTCTTAGATTTTAGTGGTTGCTACATTCAGCTGTTAATCATTAAGTTGAAGTAACAACTGTGGTTATTCATCAAAATGGTTTCCTATTCGCAGTCAGTGGTTACTTGTTCATGATCATTTCATTTACTGTTCGGATTTTACACTTTATCTATACTCATCCTCTAACTTTTAAATTGATTTCTGTGTCGAATATTTGGGGTAAGAATAATTGACTACGAATAACTGTTAAGCTAAAGAAAGAAATAAAAAAGGTGAAAATATCTAGCAAACAGAAACACAAGTTTTATTCCAAGTTAAATTTACTGACAAATTTTAAAACTCAAAATGAACCTGCACTGTTTAAGCTTTAGTTTGCAACCACTTATACTATTAGCATATAGTTCTAAATTACTTCATTACATTATTCACTTATATTTGTACGCGGATGCTTTAGAACGTTAAAAAAAGAAATGTACTCCCTAAACGAAGTAATTAGTTGATAGTTGATCAAACTGTTAGTCCATCCAGCCGGTTTAGGTAACTGTGAAGTCCAACTGAAGTTCGGACTTATGTGTGGCACTGTAAATTACTTGGTAAAGTTTTAGGATTTTAAACTTTGGGAATTTCACTTCAGAAGCTTTCTTTCGGAAATATTTTTTCTTGACAAGCAGAAATAGTTGTGTTCATTATAGCAAATACAAAAAATAGACTGAAAGTAAAGTTATTTATTTAAAGGTTTTGTGGTACTTTGAAGAATCACTTTTAAGAACATGGGTAACCATTTCAATAAAAGGGTTTTGTCAGTGTATACAAGATAGTAGATTTTAACATCTTAAAATTGTGATTTTGTGATCTATCGATACGATTTATTAGTCTGTGGTGTTTTTATAGTGTAAGCTACTTATAAAAACCTCGTCCAACTCATCGTGTTACGCTATATTCCTAACTCAGAATTAGTAGTCGACAAGGTATTTTTCCATTTTTGTGATACTGTTGTAAACTATCATGATGATTCACATTACCGATTTAATCATTTTAAACGAGATTATTTCTATCACGTCTGTCCTCTAACTATAGTGGGTTCAATCTTCATGCTAGTCTTAGTAATAGAGGCTCCAGAAAGATTGAATTACATCCACGTCTTTTAAAAGTATATATAAATTATTAAATGATTAATAACTACTGCGATTTATCAAACTGAGTAATATTTACTGGACTCATAATCACGGTGAATAAATCAATGGAAAGAGATATGCATCAAAAATCATAACTATCTTGATCCTGGACAGTAGATACAAGTAAATACATTGAGTCAATCTAGATAATTCTCTCAGAATTATTGGTGCTTTGAGAGTTAACTGAACTAAAATCACCTCAAATCCTTATTCGAGTTATAAGATTGATCATCTTCTACATACTGTATTTGGGGATATTGGGTCCAAAAATTGGCTATTCAAGCTCATCATTTCTCTTACGTTACATTATTATTGTGCACAAGACCACTTGGTCAAAGAGTTATGCTCGTACTTTTGCAAAGTTCCGTTTCACAGCTTATTACTTTAAGAATCATATAATTTCAATAAATATTCTTATTTATTTAGATTTCTGCTCAATGTCCTGCATATCATCCTTTCAATCTGCGTATTCGTTTTAAAAATTTACCCAAAGGTTTTCTGACAATGTATTTAGTGAGTCAAGTTTTACAAAGCTCTCAAAATGTAGTCAGTTCACCAGCTAATTTAATTCCGAATGTTGATATGAATTTTGCTACCAATGCGAGTTCTAACTGCGCGAATTTCACCTCATACGATTGTGGTCAAGATTCGTATGCAAGCCATGTTAGTACAAAAAATCCTTCCGCTACTGAATTGCAGCCCACATCATTGCTAATGCGTCTAACTGAAGATGTTATACTGGATGGTAGTGCCAAAGATAATTATGAAGTTATTTTTACTGTAAGTATGCAAATATGTTATTTGTATATTTTTTAATAATTTCCTTGGATTATAATAATCAAACGTTTCTGATGAATTGAAGTACCAAAGTCTGTACGAAGACATATGTTACTGAACAGCCGTTTGCATGATTATTGTAACCAATGGCTAAACCCTTTGGAAATCTTGGTTCATAATCGGTCATATCGATACAATTGCATATATTCATTGCTTACTCATAAATCTTGAGTTTTGAAATTATTGTATACTGTTTACTTCGCGGATTTATTTTTGTTTACCATATTTTGTTAGGTGCATCATAGTATTTTGTTTAAAGTACGGCAACTCTGGTTAATACGCGTATTTGTCAGGTCATAAGCTGTAAATGCACATTCTATGACTAATTTTTGTAGTTCATATGCACTAACTAGTGTGATTTCTAAACAATTTGTAAGGGGTTTATAACTGTTGTACGAAGTTCTGATCAGTAAATTACAATTTAAAGTGTATTTCGTCTGTCAGATTTTTTTCTGTGAGTCTTCCACACACCACGTATCTGTCATGTTTGGCTGGATTTAATCACATTTTAATTTACATTATTGTTTAAGTCAGCTTTAATGTCTGTTATCATGACCCCATACATACATGTTTGTCAAGCTATTTTTATTCTCAGTGCAGTCATCATTATCTCTGCATTTAACTGAAGTGTAATACACTATCGAATGTACAGTTAAGTATTAACATTGTTTTGTTCATCAGATCAAAACTTGTCCATAGAGTTAGTTTAATTGGAGGTGTTGGATTAATAGTCTGTATCCTCAATTATGTGTCTTTTCGTGGGATGTTATAGTTCTCTTCTATCTGTTTTGGTTTGAGCAGTAGGGAGAAATTTATTATCGCTGAGAAAAGAAATACTATGTTAAAATCTAATACATTGGAGTCTATTTATTTAGTTGTTTTGTATTTTCATACGACTTATTTGTACTCACTCTTTTTATACCTTTCACTTCACAGAATCTCGACCCATTTAAATACAAAGAAAAACGTATACTACTATTAGTGTCACTGACTCGTATTGGACCGATGCATTTAAAACGTACGAAATCAGGTGGGAAATCAGTGACACTAAGTGGTAATGAAAGTAAATACCAACAACCGAATTCCATGTTGAAACGTCCAATCGGTGTTGCTTGTCTGGATATAACTTCTTCCATTGTGCCTTATTTTAATCGTTCCCCTCAACTATTTGATTGGGGATCTGGCAAAACAACAAAAGATGACAATTCTATATTGGATCACAAACGTATCGTGAATTTCAAATTGTATGTGAACGTAACTGATAAAAATCGTCATTTCGTATGTTTGTTTGTGGTTTTTCTACCCGAATTATTTGTCACCATGTGTTGTGTATGCCTAACCAGCGTATACATCGACGGGCAATGTTTGCTGATGTGGAACTAAGTTAGAAGTAAGCTAGGAGGGTTAAACGAGGATGTGGCATCAATCCATAAAGTCATTAACTGTTGGTTTGAGTCATATTGGTAGGTGCAGACCACCTGGTTGGATACGTTCACTGATATGGCTTACAATGTCACAATGGCTCTGGTCCATTTACTACTCATCCTAGTTTAGATCTTAAGCCCCATTTTCGCCTTATACATACGTTTTTATTGTCTTTCCAAACAACGCTTCCAATTTTTAGTCTTATTGTCATTATTATTATTTTTATTCCGCTCCCCATAGTCTTGTTCTGTTACTGTAGTTTGGCATGGCACTTAGGTCAACACATGTGTTCCAGACCCTATGTTAGTCATGGCTGGATGATTTTTCAGTGACTAAAAAAGATAAAGGAGCCATACACAATCATATAATCATTTGTCCAAACTTGCGGGTTTTTACTACTAAGCTTGACTTTTTTTGAGTTTGACTTATGGAGAGTCCTTTAGACCTACCATTTCAAGAATGCAACATGACAGTTGTTCAGTGTTACTTAAATGCTTTGGAAGATTTATTATTGTCTTACCGTGAAATATCACCAATTTTAATTGAATAAAATGAAATACGGTCACTTAAAAAAGTTGACTGTTGTCTATAAGACTAATATCTTAATCAATTTTCTAAGATGATTTCATTTATGAAACTTTTGGTATTCCCTATTAAATTGTTTTGTACATGAAAAGACAACCATGTAGTGAACAACTGAAGTTAGGCAGGAAACCTGGGAGTACAGAACAACTGTTGCTTTATGGAGATTTGAACATCCACAACGTAGGCAGCCAGGGAGTGATAAACATCATCATATCTCTGAAAACGTACGAGATCATCTTGTTCAGGATCAAACCTCTTGACCTCTTCCTAACCCACTTATTCCCACAACTAACCATCCTCGTATATTTGTATCATATCACGCTGTTAACGATTTGAGTTCACGAAATTTTATTGCTTGGTCTCATGAAACCACAGTCTAAACTACATGTTGGAGCTTTTAATATTCGTACCTTGTGCTAGATAAGACAATAGCCTTCCTTAGCTAGGACTCTAGAATCTCGCGCGATTGTTTTATGTTACCTTTCTGAAACGTGCATACAGAACTCAAGTACAGTCATTTACTTGACCTCACTTTGTCAGTACAAAGGACTGATGCAATTCACCCTTCGTGTATCTAGAAACCTCATTGCTACTTGTGTAATCTCGCTTCATCATTTTATAGACAGACAGACAAACAGGTACAACACAGAACTTTGTACGTAAGTACAGCAGTTCAAGTTGCCATACCACATTAGCACAGGTATATAATTGTCGATTCAAATCCCATAGTGGTAGAGGTAGTAAAAGTACTAGAAGTAATCGGAGAGATTAGGGTTCGAAGATTTTATTCAAGAAGTATAATTCAGTGAGGTAAGTTTAGAAAGAGAAAGATAGAGGTGATGAATTTAGAAGGTTAGAATTTCATAGAACACAAAGAGTGAATGCACCTGCGCCATTGCAAACGGTTTTGAGCCATGTCACTCAGGGTCTCTAACCATCGATTACTAACATCTCGCGGACTCCAACCAAGTAGTTTACACCTACCAACATGACTCAGTCTACTTGTCAGTGACTTCATGGATTTGTGCCATGTTTTGGTCTGGCCGCCCCTAGCTTTCGTCCAACCTATTCCTATATCGTAAAACATAGCTCGATGAGGTAGTCGGTGGTCGTGCTCAGTTGTTGCTCAGTATCTCAAACATTTGATATCATATTTCCTCACATTTGTCAACTAGTTGGAAAATCAGCCAACATATACATATAACACAATAGTCTGTACGTAACCACTGAGTTACACCAATTTTTTTAGATTTCCAGATTTTCACGTAGTACACCAGTAGTAGTGATATTGACAATTTAGTGAATACCAATGACAAATGACAGTTAATGAATAGTTACTTAATCATCTTTTTTTCATTTAAAACTGATTTAAAACAAACTATTCTAGAACTGGTGAACAATTTTTATCAGAAGCATTATTACGTGCAATCAACGATACACAAGTTCTATCTTGGGGTAATAATCAAAATTCAGGTTATCCTGATATGGATTTAACAACTATTTTGAGCATTCCAAGTATTTCATTGGATTCATCGGAAGTACCAAAATTGGAAATCAATGAAATCACAGTATTAAACTCTTTAGAAGGTCAGGTAAGTCGATTGTTCTTCTTTCTTTTTTTCTTCTTTACACGATGAGTTCATTAGTGATAAATATTGAATGATTATGTGGAAATTAAAATTATAAATAAACTTCCATTATTTAAATTAAAATAAATCTCAATTCATTTTATTTCATAAATCTCAGTATATGTTACTATTAAATCATTTCTACCAGTACACTATGATGATAAAAATTTATCTAGGCGATTGTTGTTCATACACAACTCATAAATGTTATGACAGTGTGATACATTTTAATTGTCAGCTGAATAAATCCTTTACAGTTGAAAGTTCACATTATTATCGAATTCCGTTTATAACTGAAAAAGTACTGGTTGTGAATATAAACATTAGACTTAAAAGCTTGTTGATTGTTATTCAGCTGATTGATATAGCTCCGGTCTGTCATCTTACCAAGTTACTTCACAGTTCTTAGTATCACAGACACTTAGTCAGTCAGCTACAATGTAGAACTTCGTTGTTTCACACCCATACAGTCGAATAGAGCGAACTGCTGCTCAGTAGACTCTTCCTTTGGTTAACAAACGGATATCTCACCTATACCACAAGTGACACAAGTTGGCAAAAGCCAATCGAGCCTTCTATATCCGTGCTGATATTTCGTCAGTCACCAGGCCACCAGCACTAATGAGACTCCCCAAATAATTGAAGCGGTCAACACGCTCAACTGCTTCACTCTCTATCACTAGTTCAGGTGCCGATGTAAGTCAATCCGAAAGCAATATTTTACATTTCTACGGAGAGAATCGCTTCCCGAACATGCTGGCATTGATACTTAAGGTTGTCAGAAGACTTCATTTCATCAGCGATTTCACCAAATAAAACTATTTCATCGACAAGTGTATCTCCCAGTAAAAGTCCAACTTCTGAAAAGTCAGATGATGAAAGTGTCGTTTCCAAAAGCACGTCGATGACGAAGTTAAACAATAATGGATAAAGTAGACAACCGTGACGATCACTATTTGAAGTAATGGATTCCGATGACAGTTCGCCGTAGCTGTAACTCGACCAGTAGTGTTCGAGTGAAGAGCCTGTGTAAAATTGATGTAGTTCTTTGGTACTCCTTTCAATGACAGACACTTCAATAGAACCTCACGTTCGGTAGAGTCAAATGCCGCTTTAAGGTATAGGAAGACAACTATTGTGGGACGCCGAAATGTGTGTCTGTGTTCTAGGACCTGTCTATGTCTGAATATCTGGTCTGTGCAGCCACATTCAAATCTGAAACCAGCCTGTTTTTCTCGAGTTTGCTCTTTTTAAGCTCTTGTTAGGCGTTGAACTATTGTTGAGGCTAATATTTTAGACATTATATCCAAAACGCTGCTAAACCGCCTTTATTTAGACCGTGTCAAATCAGAGATGGTTTACGAGGTTTTAACTGATATGTTTCAAAAGGCTAGGAGAGATCAGTAGTGCAAGGAAGCCCATACAGTATGTGATGAATGTTAGAAGGAAACCATTTATCTGATTTAATCAATAACAAAGAAACATTGTACAATATTTAATCATCCAGTTAAGTGCTCAAGTGTATACAAAGTAAGGATATATGTAATAGTGATGAACACAAAAGTTTATACTGATCAATACCAGTGACGTACTCAATAATATCAAAACGTTTACAGTTCTTTTATTTTATACTTGAGGATTCCCCTATTAAAACACTAAAATCTGTCGGTAAAAAGATAGCGACCAAAGTTTAAGTGTCTTGAAATGCTGCTAACATATTTAAGCAACGTACATATCACTCTTGGATTTGAACTGACAGCTGCGTCTCTGTGCTGATGGGACATGGCAACCTGAACTGATGTACTTACGTACGAAGTTCTGTGTTGTATCTGTCTGTCTGACATACAGTGAATAAGTTCCAAATAGGGACCGAGTTTCTAACATTCGAACTTTAAAGCGTGCATTTTACGTCCATGTCACTATGTTGGCATGTCTACAACAAGTGCTGATTATCAGTAATTTCAATTCAATACACTAGATTATACATTTAGTTAGGATTAAATATCCACTGATTTCTAATAAAATGAAGGATCTGTGAGGCTTAATGATTAAGTGTTGAATAAATCATGAATACAAAGGATTTATATAGTTTTAAGCTAGTGTCTACTATTGATAAAACTAAGTAACCAAATACAAATTTGTGTGCACTCGTCTTTAAATCATTCAGTTATCTATGAAAGCTAATGATAGCATGCAATATGTAGGTGTGCAAACTGAAGTAGGTAGGTATAGTGAGAGGAAGTTAATTGTTTTGAACTTAGAGTTACGTCTCTGTGCTGATGTGGTATGACAACCTGAACTCCATGTACTTACGTACGAAGTTTTGCGTTGTATCTGTCTGTCTCTGTTTTCCAACCTACAACCAACTGACGACTCACTACTTCACTTTTTCAGTTCGGTAAGTAACTTTTAAAATTTTCTGTTTCTTATCTAAGCAAATGATTTCGTCAATTTTCAAGGTATAAAAACAATTGAGCTAACAGTAAAAGTATATATTGTTCATAGGATTCATGTTCACTTTACTTACCTCACTGTTTTATCATTATCTGCCTTAGTAATTTCAAATTTTTATAGATAAGTTTTTTCTTGAGTTTTTGTTATCGGTTGTGTTCTGTTTAGATTTTCACATAAATTGATTGATTCACTTGTAATGATTATTGCATAATTAATGTATTTAATAAAAAAATTCATATAAATAATATATATGTGTTTCAATTCATCTATCAAATATAGCTTATTGTATTGGATTTTGAGTTATACAATTAATATGGAAGTTAATGATAGTGCTCGACTGACTGCGTAATTCATTATTTGTATATAATTTTAAACTAGTCTCGATGTTCTAAGTAATATAGAAATTGCTCAGTATGGTTTGATATTTGCATGGTCATTTTATTTTGGGTGAGAAAAATCGATTCATGGAAATCTAATCGTTTCGAGATCAGATGGTTTATGTATCCTTCTGTGTATAGTAGTATGGTTGACGTCTACAAACTGGACTAAAACATAAGTATCCATACATGACCAGTGAAGTGTATCATTCTCCATGTCGTCTATGCAACAAATTAAAATCCTTAATGACTAACGAACAGTAGTAACATTGATTTTTACTGATTATGCTAGTTATTGAGTTATAGTAATTAAATAAGTCGAAATCCAAACAGTTTACTGTATTTTTGAAATTTTCCTATCTCCATATCGATCTAAGAGTAGAGTATTTCTGACACTCAGACAAAGAATATGCCTAACCATTGATTTGATAAATGAATTAAATTGACCCAATCGAATCATGTAGCTAAATCTTGTGTTAGTATTTATAGCAAGGTCTCATTTTTTCCTATTTTCTAGTCGACTAAAATTATAAAGTAATGACCATATCTGATATCATGTTATTTGTTTTTGCTAGATAATAACTCAAATATATTTTAATAGAGTTTCATTGTTTGTGCTAGGTGGTTTAGTCCTGAAGCTTTAATTGTCCTCTTGTACACAACATCATCAGCACAAACTTCAGATGGAAGTGAGCTATTCAAATGTTTTTATACGTGACTAATGTTGATCTCGACCGGTTGTTGTTATTGTTATTGACCGTTGTCCTGTCCTGTCATTGGTTGTTATCCATTTTGATCTGCTTTTTCACCTTGTAGTCGGACATCCAACCTAAGCCGTAAATCTCGACTACCTCACAACCCAAACATATAACTAGACAAAAATTTTTTGCTTATTTTTGATTCATACATTACTTGTGTACTTAATCTTTTCGAATGTAACAATGTATTTTCTAATCATTTTTCAATTTTTCTCCTTTGAAAACAAACAAATGAATCAAACAATATAACATACTGAATACAATTGGAATTGATTGCATCCAGCCATTCAATCGTGATGCATTGTATGTACGTCGTTATGCATCACCTTATTTTAATAATCATACAATTATTAATAATAATGGTGTAAATCAACCACGACATGAACTTTATGTCACTTTAATTTCGGGAAATTTCTCTAAAGGTAACAAAACCAGAGAGCATAATATTGAAGTTGAAGTCAGTGTGATAGATAGTGATGGAAATTGGGTAAGTGTGAAATTAATTAATAATGTTTGTTTTTATTTTTTATTATTATTATTATTATTATTATTATTAATTCATTAATCAAGCACCGAATCGTTTATGTAGTAACTGATGGTACCTACTATCCAGTTGATAAGACCAGAGTAGGTGGAGTAGAGTTCAAACATAGCTAAGTCGTTGAAGTTGATGAATGCCTTAACAACAACCTCAGTAAATGCTTTACTTTGTCCAGTTTTTATATGTAAATGTTATAGTCATACATTGTACAAAAATATATAGTTCTATGCAATATATATATGTATACGGCGAGAGAGAGAGAGTTTCTAGCGTCATTATTTTCTCTGGACTAGATGTTTGAATTATACACCTTATGTTTTCGTTCTAAGTATTATCAACTAAACTAAAAACAAAAGCCTCACATTGAAACGACCTTGCTCATAGAATCTCATCTGTTATTGCATCATTAAGGTGTCAGTTATACATTTTCATTGTTTTCCATAGTTTTTGTGCAAATTCATTTCTAATGAATTTTATTTGCTTCTTAACAAATTTGTCATCTATTTTCGATTGGATCAATAAACATTTTTATGACCAAATTCTAGATTCCTGTGTCAATATAATAATCGATTTATATTTTGTAAAATTGTCTGATTTGAAAATATGATACACTGTGACACGTTTGTTTTTTCAAATCTCGCACTCATTCAATAGAACTGAGGACATAGCTTGAACATAGTTTATGTTTCTTTATTTCAATCATTTCTATTAGGATAATTCACAAATATCAGGGGGAGGTTACAGTGTACAAACATTAACTTCAAATGTATCCAGTTGATAAATCCTCAATGACAACTTTTTCATATTGATGATGATGATTACTAAATTGATAAATTCTGTTGAAAACACTTCTGCTGCATGAAGGCTGAGTGTTATATTACCATGTACTAGATGCTCTGAATATGCAACATAAAGCTAAGAGTACAATAAACTTACAGAATAAACAAATATAACAGTAATCGTTTATTCTTATCTATTTATTTACACAATTGTTGGCAAAAAGGGGCATCTAAATATTTGTTGGTCTCAAAAATCAATGAATTCATGTCTTGGTTCGGATAATGTCTAGGTGCCCAAACCAAAAGAGGTGGTTTTCTTAAGAAGCCACTTCCCAAGCCTTTGACCTACAAGTCTTATCAACAAGGCAGTAGAGCAACGTCAGGAGATGCAGTCCTATGGTAGCCACTGACCAACAATAAGTTCATACACCATTTGTTTCGCCAGGATCTTCTGGCCTGTATGCGTCATTAGTTTGGGATCGGGGTTTTCCAACTCCCTTAGGTAGATCCTCCGTACTCATCGCTTATTTAACATATAGTATGTAGTTTGCATCAAAATGTCTTCTTATGTGTATTTGCAAAATTCTTACTAACAATTCTGCTACTATGACACTTTTACTTCCGTTTTATGTGATTTATAAATTCCATTGTAAAATATCACTCGCTTCATCAAAGAATAGACGAAACGGAAAGCCATATACATTACGGTTGTATTTCTGTATGCATTTTTTCGATAGTAAACATCGTGAAAAGTTTTAAATTTTTGTTAAAAACATTTAGGTACACTATGAATTCTAAATAAATACATAAATAATTAAAATCAGTTCACAATATTTTCATGGTTGGAAAACAAGTTCCCAAAATGTGTGACTCGGTCACTAGAAACGTGAGATTCGAGGAGCTACCACCATTTTTTTAGTTGATTCCTGATTGAATTATTTTAAGGTGTTCCTAAAGTTCTGCCTAGAAGCTGTGATTGATGATGCTCAGACATGTTGGCATTAAGACAGTTGTTGTTCACTGTGAAACCTGAATGTTCGGAGTTAGACCCTTGATGGAGCCGTGAGTATGCACTATTGAGGAGTCTCATACCAGGATAAAACAACTATTTAAAGTACCCTGGTCTTTTGCTAGTTTCTCAAGTGAGACCAACTTATGACAAATAAAAGCTTCTGATTAATTTTTATTCACCTTTCATTTTTTATTATAATGTTATGTAGATAGAGAATTATGTTTCACATTTTTATTGTTTAGTTAAATCTGAATAACTCACCTGAACGTTTATCACCTGTACACAAATCAGTTGTATACTATCACAAAAATCAACCATATTGGAGTGAATTATTTACAATCAATTTACCATATTCACCAACTGAATCCTCTTGTATTACGACAGCAACAGTCGATAATGTGAATAATGAGCTTGGTGGAGCTGATGATGATGATACTGAAAGATCTAAACATGATTCACAACATCAACAACAGTTCCTTGGTATGAACCCAACTTATCCTGGAATGTTAGCTGGTGTACACCTGAGACTTTTATGTCGTCATCGATCAACTGGACCAGGTGGTAAGCAGAGTAGAATATTATTAATATCAGAATACTTAGTTATAATGCTTAACTACTAGGCACTTGACCAAACATGTTGGTAATTGGATTATTTACCTTATAGTAATAGCATGCATTTGCTTACCTTGTGACTTAATTCGAGGGGTAACACTCGAAGTTCTAGTAAGAGTCTGTGATTGGTAGGTTTTAATCATATAAGGTGTGTGGCAGTTACCTACTAATGGGATTTGAGCAGTATCGAAAATTGGTTCAAGTTAGACATGCAAACCACTGGATACTGGCTTCTTGGTCTGAGGGTTAATCTCTCTCTTTGAAACATGAGTGTTGTGGGTGTACACCGCCGTGGAGTCTCATACTAGGGCTAGCCATCTGAATAATACTTCCTAGCTTTCTAAGATTGTGTAACTAGAATCAGTTCATGATTCAAACTATGGTATTCTAGGAAATTGTTATCATAAATTTTGTAGACTGTTGAATTAGAAATCAATAAGTGTGTAATGTAGGATTCTCAGTTAGCTAGTCATGAAACCTTAAGACACGTATTAATCGATAAGAATTATCATCTTTCCAATCAACATAACATAGAAGATTAATAAGTTAAAAAGTAAAAGAATGAAAATAATGATAATGATATATTACGAAGTTTCAATCTAAGTTTCGTGCTACTTAACATACACTATCAAGACTTACCTGTAATGTAGAAGAAGCTAGTGCTTACTACCTGATAGATTCCAACCTGCTAAGTTGCAGTAATAATAAATACCATAAAATTAAACAGTATAGTTTAGAGAATCGATTCATATTCGTAATGCGATAACAATTCCAATTGAACTTCAGAAAGACATGGAGAAGGTCTACAACTGTGTCACAATAACCAAGTTTTATATATCTCCCCTGATGACTCCAGCTACAAATGATGATTATTCCACTGATGATAAAGCAGAAAGTTCACTGTGTCTTGGCACAATTGCCTTTTCACTAATTACTTCGTCAATCGATGTCATATGTCGTGTCATACATAGTCTAGATGAACTTTCTCTTTATTTTTCTGGTCTAATATAGTGCATTTGGATAAATGATTGTTGAATTTGTGTAACACACATACTGAAGTCATTAAAGTAGACGAAATTTAGTCTCATAAATCAAATCATCACTTGTACCTAGTAACCTAAGTCTAATCTCTTTGTATTACTTATTCATCGGTTTAAAAGTACGCTTGCAATAATTCTAAGATATCTTTCTATTAAAAGCCACTGGTAACATACAGATAGCCGAGAGTCTTCAATGATCATGTTTAGTGACTTGTTTTTACTGTATTTATCCCTTTCTCTCTTTTTTTTTAAACTGCTTCAAAGTATGAAATTTATAAATTCATTTCATTACATTTTAGTCTGAATTCTTATTTGTCGTTCACAAACACATTAATAAATAATCATTACAGTTTCATGTTGATAATTTAAACTTTTGTCAAATATTGTTTATATGCATATGTTACTAGCTGTTCAGTAGTTACCTTAATTTGTTTACTATTTAATAGTATTATTATTATTATTATTACGAATGGTAATAGTTGTAACAGTGTTTGTCAAATGACTTAAACTAAATATATGTATTTTTTTTTCCTTTATATAATTTACATTCTAATGTAAGTACGATAATGATTTTCATGTAACATGATTTCTATCATTCATACAAGGAGTTGCAATTAAAAATCAATGTCTTAGTTGGTTGATAAACATGCCAGGAAATTTATCCTTCGTGTTTCGATTTATGCTGCCACATGGTCTGAATAAGATTATTGGTTAAATAATTTGGTCATTGGACAACCAATTAGCATAAATCATTCCATTTCTTTTTCACTGTAATTTTCAGGTTGAATGAAAATGTCTATAACGAGTAGTATATTTCTACTGATAAATAACAATTCTTTCTTACAATTAATTGTTCATTGAGTAACGACTGATGCCATATTTACCATGTCCATTTTTCTAAAATTACGTTGTGTATTTTCGGAGTTTTTCATAATCGATATAACTATTATTCTTACCACTTGATCGGCAGAATACCTTCATCACATAGAGGACTAAAAACATATGAGATTAGTGAGTGATAAACCACTTGTGAATACCTCCTTTACAGCAGGTTAGTTGTCGCCCAAGCCGCTGATTATTAGCGTCTCACACTGTGAAGGTAGGTGACACAGCGTCTAATTCACCAGGTAGGAGCTGGCACCGGCTCCTTCTACGTTCTAGGTACGCCGTGGTGGCGTATCAATTAAGGTGAAACTTGAACCGTCAACTATCTGCTGACTAGTTCCAACCACCTAAAACCCTCTACATTCAATCTTAACGACCAACTATCTCTATTCTGCTTTGAATTTTATTGACAAAGTGGATGAACTCATTTTAGGTGATATTTCATTTTTATACCTATGACAAATAAAGAATCAATTGGGATGCCTAAAATCCACCTTTCAGTATGGTTTGTCAGTTAGATATTAAAAAGAATTTTTTCTAAACAGATAACATTTCATTGAAATTTACCATGGACAAGTTGTTTTTATTAAAGTAATATTAATGATTAACTAGCCTTTATCATTGAATAGAAAATGTTTAAATCGTCTATAGAATAAATAACGGAAATAAAATTTATAAACAGATAATAGTCATCTGTGTGTATGTATTGTTTTAAAATAAATAATTTTTGTTGATTAGATTATGAATGGGTAAATATTTTATAATACTTTGAACAATCTAAAGATAACATGTTAGTATTAGTAGTTCAGCATTCATTTTTTTTGGAAAGTTGGAGTTTTAAAATTTCAATTAACTAAGAAAGCAGTTGTTCACTGTTGTCCTCTAATTTGTAATAGTTCTTCCTTTAACTTATTTCAATGGATCATGAAAATTCTCCTTTGATTAGCCATAATTTGATAAATGTGTGAATATTTGTAACCATGAATCGATCAATGTTAGACCACCATTAGAAACCTGGAAGCACTGGACGGCCGTTTCGTCCTGGTATGGGACTCATCAGCAGTGCGCATCCACGACTCCTGCTCCTCGCAGGATTCGAACCCAGGATGAAAATAAAAGTTAACTTTGAAAAGAATATTACTTACTTACTTACTTTCGCCTGTTACCCCCAATGGAGCATAGGCCGCCCACCAGTTTTCTCCAACCAACTCTGTCCTGGGCTTCCCTCTCCAGTTCTGTCCAATGTTTGTTCATTCCTCTCATATCTTTCTCTATTTCTCGGCGTAGTGTGTTCCTTGGCCTTCCTCTTTTCCTTTTGCCTTGAGGGTTCCATGTGAGGGCTTGTCTAGTGACGCAGTTGGGTGCTTTTCGTAGTGTATGTCCTATCCATTTCCACCGCTTCTTCCTGATTTCCTCCTCCATTGGAATCTGACTTGTTCTCTCCCACAGTTCGTTGTTGCTGATGGTGTCTGGCCAACGAATACGAAGTATTTTGCGTAGACAACTGTTAATAAACACTTGTATCTTCTGGATGATGGCTTTGGTAGTTCTCCATGTTTCCGCTCCATACAGTAGAACTGTCTTCACATTTGTATTGAAGATCCTGATTTTGGTTTTGTTTGAAAGTTGTTTGGAGTTCCAGATATTTTTCAACTGTAGAAATGCAGCCCTCGCTTTGCCAATCCGCACCCTCACATCTGCGTCCGATCCACCTTTCTCGTCGATGATGCTGCCAAGATATGTGAAGGTGTTAACGTCCTCCAAGGTATCTCCATCAAGAGTGATTCGGTTGGTGCATGTTGTGTTGCATCGGAGAATTTTGCTTTTTCCTTTATGTATGTTGAGACCTACTGCTGCAGAGGCTGCTGCTACACTGGTCGTCTTCTCTTGCATTTGTTGTTGAGTGTGCGATAGAAGAGCCAGGTCATCTGCGAAGTCCAGATCGTCCAGCTGCGTCCTAACTGTCCAGTTGATACCGTGCTTCCCTCCAGATGTTGACGTCTTCATAATCCAGTCGATGACCAGGAGAAAGAGAAAGGGTGAGAGTAAGCAACCTTGCCTGACACCGGTCTTCACCTCAAAAGAGTCTGTCAGCTGACCTCCGTGCACGATTTTGCAGTTGAATCCATCATAAGAATTCCGTATGATGTTGACTATTTTCTCAGGCACACCGTAGTGTCGAAGAAGCCTCCACAGTGTTTTCCTATCCACGCTATCGAATGCTTTCTCGTAGTCGATGAAGTTGATGTAGAGTGGTGAGTTCCATTCAATTGATTGTTCCACAATGATCCGTAATGTAGCAATTTGGTCAGTACATGATCGATCCTTACGAAATCCAGCCTGTTGATCTCGAAGTTGGGCGTCTACGAAGTCCTTCATTCTGTTTAACAATACTCTGTTGAAGACTTTGCCTGGTATTGAAAGAAGAGTGATGCCTCTGTAGTTTTCACACTTGCTGAGATCGCCTTTCTTTGGTATTTTGATGAGGTATCCTTCTTTCCAATCTGATGGTACTTGTTCCTCATCCCAAATCTTCTTGAAGAGAATGTGAAATATTTTCGCAGTTGCTTCCACATCTGCTTTCATTGCCTCTGCTGGAATGTTGTCTGGTCCTGCTGCTTTGCCGCTCTTGATTTGTCTGATGGCTATACTGATCTCCTCAATCGTAGGTGCGCCAATATTAATTGGGAGGTCCGTGGATGCTGCTTCGATGTTGGGTGGGTTCAGTGGAGCTGGTCGATTCAATAGTTCCTTAAAGTGCTCCACCCACCTATTTCGCTGTTCGTCAGTGTTGCTGATTATTTTCCCTTCCTTGCTTTTCACTGGTCGTTCTGGTTTACGATAGTTTCCAGAGAGCTTCTTTGTAGTTTCGTACAATTGTCTCAAGTTTCCTTCTCTTGCAGCCTTTTCCGCCGTCATTGCTAGATAATCCACATATTTTCGTTTGTCAGCTCTGATGCTCTTCTTCACTTCCCTGTTTGCTTCTGTATACTCGGCTTGCGCCTTAACTTTCTCTGCTCTTGTTCGGCAGACATTGATAGCTGCCTTCTTGTTCCTCCTTTCTTGAATTTTTTCAAGAGTACCAACAGAGATCCATTCCTTGTGATGGTGCTTCTTGCGACCAAGGACCTCCTGACATGTTGAAGTGATTGTCTCCTTGATCCCTTTCCAATTGTTCTCCAATGTTGCTTCCTGTCCATTGAGTAGATCCTGAAAGGCCTGGAACCTATTGGTGAGGGCTATCTTGAATTCGTTGAGTTTTACGGTATCCCGAAGAAAGGCCGTATTAAACTTCTGTGATGTTGTCTGCCCCGTTGTCCAGTGCTTCTTTAGCTTCAATCTCATTTTGGCGATCAGCAAGTGGTGATCTGAAGCTACATCAGCTCCTCTCTTGGTTCTCACATCCTCCATGGTCCTTCTGAACTTTTTGTTGATACAGATATGGTCAATTTGGTTTTGAGTAGTGTGGTCCGGTGAAATCCATGTGGCTTTGTGAATGCGTTTGTGCGGGAATATTGTGCCACCGATGACCAGTTTGTTGAAGGCACATAGGTTTGCAAATCTCTCACCGTTTTCGTTCCTTTCTCCCAGTCCATGTCGTCCCATGATGTCTTCATATCCAGTGTTGTCCATTCCAACCTTGGCATTCAGGTCTCCCATTAGAATCGTCAAATCCTTTGGTGAACATTTATCGACGACTGACTGCAGCCTTTCGTAGAATTGATCTTTAACGTCGTCATTGTAGTCATTGGTAGGTGCATAACATTGGATGACGTTCATTGTAATGTCCTGTTTCTTTGTTTTGAAGGATGCTTTAATGATCCTTGGTCCATGAGATTCCCATCCTATCAGTGCCTTTTGTGCATGTTTGGACAGCATCAGTGCAACTCCTTGTGTATGTGAAGCGTTTTCCTCTTCATGACCAGAGTATAACAGCAGTTCCCCTGAAGCAAGTCTCAGTTGTCCTACTTGTGTCCAATGTGTTTCACTGATGCCGAGCACCTCGAGGTTGTATCTTTTCATTTCTGCCGCAACTTGAAATAGTCTTCCAGTCTCCCACAATGTACGAACGTTCCATGTACCTAAAAAAATGGTTGCTCTGGTTGTCAGAAGAGGCATCGGCCCCGTGACTTCCGAGGGGACTCGGCTTTCATCACGAGACGTCATAATTCTTCTTCCAACTCCCAGGGCAGAGTTAAAATGGTTTGAATTATTTTTTCTGGTTAGCGTTTTTTTGGCAAGTTAGATTTCAACGGAATGGGGCCGCCAACCCCATGTCCAACCCTCCTCCTTTATCCGGGCTTGGGACCGGCAGTAGCCCCTAAGGTTCTACTGGCGGAGTTTTGAAAAGAATATAGACGTCTACAAATGATAATGAAATGGCATGTGAAGAATAGTTTTAAGTCAAACAGAAATAATGCTAAATTATTACTGTGTATTACTGTTACACTTGTCCATCAATTAGTCTTAGCATAGTATAGAAATAGAAGAGATATTTGATTGCAGTTTTTTTAAATCTACTATCTTTAATGTATATTTCTTTTGTCTATGTTACACACATATGAACTGTTTTGAAGGTGTGTGTGTGTGTGTGTATGTCACCATTATAACCTGATATTAACTTGTCCTTGTATAAATAAATCATCTTAGATTCTGAAGGAAAAATTCTAGGAGTTGCATATTTACGACTCCAACCAAATAAATCTGTACCAGTCCTTCTACCTGATGGAGATTATCATCTGTATATACATAAGGTATGTGTAAAGTTGTTTTTTTTTTAATGAGATGGTTATTTTCTTTCATTTTTGATATAAATTTATTTTCATCAATGCAATGAATGTTGAGTTGTGACAAGTTGTATTCATCGTTATGATGTGATCGGTTTTCATTAATTTGCTATTTTGATACTAAGCTTAAATATCATTATTTGTGGGACTAGCCCGAAAATTCCATTTTACGACTGAGAGTGGAGAGAGTTCGCTTTCCTCTTTGAATCACTCTCATATGAACACTCATTTATAGTCACTACTAGTGAAGTCCTACCCACTGCATTTTCGCTGCCATGTTGTTTATGAAATTGAGAGGGTAAAAAGCGAGTGTCCTGTGCTTTAACTGAGTTGATTGGTATAGAGAATCCACTCAGTGGAGTCGGAATAGCCTAGTTCAAAACCAATAGTGCAGATGAGCTCCAGGATCTTGATGGAACGAGTCAGTCAGTCAGATGCAACGTAGAACTTCGTACGTAAGTACATCAGTTCATATCGCCATACCACATCAACACAGAGATATAATTGTCAATTCAAATCCAATAGTAGAAGAGGTAGTAAAGGTATTGGAAGTAATCGGGGAGGTTAGGATTAGAAGATATTATTCATGAAGTATGATTAAATGAGATAAGTTTAGAAAGTAAAAACTAGAGGTGTTGAAGAATCCAGAAGATTAGGATTTGAGAGAACACAAAGAATAAATGCACTGGCGCCATTGCGAACGATTTTGAGCCATGTCCTTCAAGGTCTCTAGCCATCGATTATTATCATCTCGCGGACCCCAACCAGGTAGTCGACAGTTACCGACATGGCTAAGTCCACTAGTCAATGACTTCATGGATTTCTGCCATGTTTTGGTCTGGCCGCCCTTAGCTTTCTTCCAACCTACTCCTACACTACAAAACAGCTCGACGAGGCAGCCGGTGGTTAGGCATACGCAACACGTGTCCCAACCACCTCAACTGATGAAGTTTCACCACTTCATCGATTGGTCTGCCATTCTTACCTAGCACCCGATTCCTAATAACAGCGTTGCTCACTCGGTTGTCCCACGATATACGAGCAATGCTTCGAAGACATCTATGATCGAAAACCAATAACCGACGAGTATCTTCTACTCTCATTGGCCATGTTTCACAGCCATAAAGTAAGACGGAGCGAACCACTGCGCAGTACACTCGTCCTTTAGTCAGCAGACGGATATCTCGCCTACGCCATAAGTGACGCAGGTTGGCGAAAGCCAATCGAGCCTTCTGTATCCGAGCCGAGATTTCGTCAGTCACCAGGCCATCAGCACTGATGAGACTCCCGAGATAAGTGAAGCGGTCTACACGTTCGACTACTTCACTCCCTATCACTAGTTCAGGTGCCGTTGCAACCCAATCTTGAAGCAACAATTTGCATTTCGAGGGGGAAAACCGCATCCCGAACATGCTTGCATTGTTGCTTAGGGTAGTCAGAAGACTCTGCATTTTGTCAGCGTCTTCACCAAGTAGGACTATGTCATCTGCATATTCTAAGTCAATAAGCGAGCCACCTGGTAAAAGGTCTACTCCAGAAAATTCAGATGAGGATAAGGTTATTTCTAGGAGCATGTCTATAATAAAATTAAACAAGAATGGAGAGGGTGGACGTCCCTGACGGACACCACTTGATGTAGAGAATTCCGTTGACAGTTCGCCATAAGCTCTCACTCGACCAGTGGTGTTTGAGTAGAGAGCTTGTATGAGGTTAATGTACTTATTTGGTACACCTTTCAATGACAGACACTGCCACAGAACCTCACGATCCACAGAGTCAAATGCCGCCTTTAGGTCCAGGAAGACAACTATTGTAGGACGCCTAAATGTGTGTCTGTGTTCCAGGACCTGTCGTAGTGTGAAAATGTGGTCTATACAGCCACGTCCAGGTCGAAAACCAGCCTGGTTTTCTCGAGTCTGCTCTTCACGAGCTTTCGTTAAGCGTCGAAGTATTACTGAGGCCAATATTTTAGATACTATATTAGTTAGACTTATTCCCCTGTGATTGTCACAAGAAGACTTTTGTCCTTTCTTATAGATTGGGACAATCAGTGATTGAGACCAGTCGGATGGGATTACGTCCAGTTCCCAGATTCTACCTAAGATCTCAGTCAACCTAGCTGCTAAAACTGGACCACCATCCTTAAATATCTCAGGGGTCAGTCTATCAGGACCTGCAGCTCGTCCTCGCTTCAGATTTCGTAAAGCTTTTTCAACTTCATTAAGACTAGGGGGACTTACGTCGATTTGCCATTCAGGATGACTGGAGATCGTGGGTAACCGAAGAGTGGCTCGAGGCCAGTTGAACTGATCCCTAAAGTGTTCTGCCCATTGATCCAGTCTCCTGGATTGAGAATAAATAATAGTCCCGTTATTTTCTGAGATAGTCTCGCTTACACTAGGATTCCTAATACCAGTTTCCTTGATAAGTCGGAAAAGTTGTCTACTGTTGCCGATCGCCGCTGCCTTTTCCATCGCTTTTGCTTTCGCCACCCACCACTGTTCGCGATCGTTACGTAGGCTTTTTATAAGTCTGCGCCTAAGTTGACTTCGTTCTTCATCATGTTCAGAGCCAGGTGGGATGAGTTTTCGGGCATCCATCAGATCGGTGGATGCTACTGAGATCCACGGTTTCATTCTAGACTTATGGTCAACCTTACTAGCAGATATCACTGCTGTTTCCACAGCCTTTTTGATATCATTCCATCCTGCTTCCGGATGGGAATCGCTTAATTGGTCGCCTAACTCTCTTTCTAGTTTTTCCTGAAATATATTTTTCGCCTTATTATCATTTAGTAAAACCCTAAGAGGCTTTCTTACGGTGTCTTTCCTACGCCCAGTAAGCTTCAAACAAATACGCACTCGCACTAGGGCATGATCTGAATCTAGACATGTGCTCCAGAACGAGCGACAGTCCTCTATCGAACCCCTCCATCGGTGGCTGATGGCAATGTGATCTAGTTGAGTCCAACGTTGAGACGACTTTGGAGGTCGCCAGGTCAACAGATGCTTTTCCTTATGCCTAAAGTTAGTGTTTGCTAAGAATAGGCGGTTGTCTGAGCATATTTGCAACAGACGGTCACCATTGTCTGTTCTCTGAGCCGGGACACCATAACATCCACCTAGGTGTCTCTCCTGCTCACTTAGTCTACCTACTTGAGCATTAAAGTCACCAGCCATTATTACTATATCAGAGCGCCTAGCTTTTTGGAGGAGGTCCGAAAGCTTTCTGTAAAACTCATCCTTAACCTCGTCTGAACTGCATTCAGTGGGGGCATAGGCAGATACGACGAAGAGGCAACGGCGATTGTCCCTATCTTTCCGAGTCCTTACTGTCCCGTTTAGTCGGACAGCGCACAATCGACTATCTACAGGGATCCAGTCAAGGAGAGATAATTCTGCCCTACGACTCAATGCTATGCCTACGCCAGCAAGACCCCTGCAAGCAGCATCAGGGCTACCGGATACACGAAGAGTAAATCGAGCTGCTTCTTTATTTTGACATGGTGTGGTCAAGTGTATGACGTGACTCGGATCCTGTATGCGCGTTTCCGAGACGCAGCATACATCGATGGAACGAGATTCTAAAGTCCTAGCTAAGGAAGCCTGTTGCCCTATTTGACACAATGTCCGTACATTAAATGCTCCAACATGTAGTCTAGAGCGAGGTTTAAGGAGACCAGGAACGACGTTTCGCGAACTCGTATCGTCTGCATTAGCTGTACACTGTGATGAATGAATGTGAGAAGAGTTAGTCGTGGAGATAAGAGAGGTACTAGGGGGTGTAGGAAGGATTTGATTTTGACCAATTCGGTCTCTGGTGCTGTTATGGGTATGAGGGCGGTTGTCACTTCCCGGCTGCCCACACCGTGGAAGGTTGTTTCTTGAGGAACCTGAAAAGGAAGATAGATTAGTGTTGGTGCGTGACCGCAGAGCCCAAGGGACAACTGCTTGAGGCCAGTCACGCATGGCCTTTTTATCAAATGTTTTTTGAGGATTAGCTCCGTTCTTAAAGGCCCTTAGTGGGCACCCTTACCCAAGGAGACGGAAATCCGTGAGTTAGGGGAGGTGTGACATTTTTAGGGTCGACCTTTTCTAACCCTTCCTTCCTTGTGAGAAGGCAGCATCGCTGCAGATGCTGGTTGTCCGAGGGAAACACCTTACTGCTGTCACACCCCTCTGCAGTCAGCAGTACGACTTCGCCCTCAGACCTTAGGTAGCTGCTTTTAGTCTCATCGTTCTCCAATCGACCTGCCTGGCATGGTAGAACCTTGAGGAACATATGTTCCAGCCAGTATAGCTCGGTTGGGTCATCACGATAGGCAAGCCCGACCACCACGTCAAGGTAGCAGCTACGGTCGGGTGATGGAACGAGTGGTCTATGAAATGATTGTTGGTCATTGTCTATCATGAGACTGCAACTCCTGATGTTACTCCCCTGTTTTGTGGATTAAACTCTTTGGTCCCGGGCTCGGGGAATAGCCCTCTGAGAAGATTTCCTGCTTCGTTTCGGGTGCCCAGCTCACTAACAAATTCAATAATTTGGGTGGCGCATAAATATTTATATGCCTATTTGTTTCCCTAATAATAATGATGATAATAAGACAGTTGAGTGTGGTAAGAAAGACCTTATGATCATTAATTTCTGATAAATATTGAACTGGATGCTGTATAAGGTGTCTAAAACCTATTGTCTGCATAGATCAATGATTGGTTAACTTTCTCCCTTGTTTCTTAATGCATTGGTAATTATATCGTTTTCAATTTTATTTGATTTTTATATTGATTGACTATTTTCTCCAAGTGTACTAATCATTTGTCATGATTTGTTTTTCATTATAAAACTATTACACATTAGTAGATTATATGTTTATTGTACCAACAATTTGTCATGTAATTGAGATATGAATGTAGCTGAATATGCAAATTTTTGAAAATAGTGCATTATTGACAACCGATTAAATTTTGTTTTTTGTCATGGTTATGATTTAATTATGATTAGTCATTTATTATCCATCATTATGACTGTATATTTTCAAATTTCCTGATTATAAACACCTGGAGATTATTTTGGTTGTTTCTTTTTTTTTGCCTAACAAGTAAATGATACTTTGGAAGTCGTAAACGTCGACCTCCTAGAACTAATTATATCTGTAGTGAACGAGAGCACAGGTGGGGCAACCGGATTGTATTTATCGAAAATTACATAGTTACTCAGTAAAATCGGAAAACCATATCGTAAATCGTTAATTTGCAAAATATCAGTTCATCATATCGAAATGGACTGTTCCTGTTGCAAAACATCAATCCATTGTCACTATTCATGCGTTTCATACAAATTCCATTGTGTTCTAACTCTTCCTTTCTTGATCTTCCCACCATCTTCTGCTGCCAGACATTACGTTGACACTCACGTCATATACTACTTATAAGTAGCTCGCACCACATATCTATCTCTCGCACTCCATGGAACTTAGAAAGTATTTCATTTTTAGTTGACACGATATGTTCACATGATTTGTCTAAGTTTACAAAAAATGCTGACGGGCTATGGTCTAAATAGGCGTTTTATGGAGATTATTGCGTTTGATGGCTTACATTACTGACTAATCTTGGTTGGACAACCATTGGAAAGCAGGAATAAGTGGATAGTCGCTTTATTCTAGAAAGGAACTCCTTAAATACCAGATCTGAATGATTTATCCCCAAATTTTATTAGAACATGGTTGTTCAATGTTACAAATTGACCATTCAGACCATTAGATCTTTGCTAAGTTAGTGGTATAAAAGCTTAACGCTCACTACGTGGTCTGAAAGTCCTGAGTTCGATTTGCTGTGGGGTCATCCATAGACATCGCTGAGTCGCATATCCACACGTTCAATTTAATCACAAATCATCCAAACAGTAGTTTGCTGTCTTGACATAGTAGTCACAACTGCATATCGTAATGATTTAATTGAGCTTTATTAGTCGAAACAATCGCTCCGTCAGTTCTTATCATGCAAGCCAGGTTAGTTAAAGAATGTTAAAAATAAAAGTAGCAACTGGGTGTCTGAGGTGAAGTTGTACTACCGACTGTTTTTTGAAATTTGATTGTGACCGAGTTGGTCTCATATGCTTTTATGGGTATGAGGACGGTTGTTACTTCCCGGTTACCCACATTGTGGAAGGGCTCTGGTTGTCAGAAGGGGCATTGGCCTCGTGACTTCCGAAGGAACTCGGCTTTCACCATGAGACGTCATAACTCTTCTAAATGATGACCTAACTCCGAGAGCAGAGTTCAAATGGTTTGAATTATTTTTTCTTGTCAGCGTTTTTTTAGCGACAACCTCAATCGCAACCCTCCTCCTTTATCCGGGCTTGGGACCGGCAGTAGCCCTGGAGGATCTACAGGCAACCTGAACTGATGTACGGACGCACGAAGTTCTACGTTGTTGACTGACTGTACTACCGACTGTACAGGCTTACGATGACGGTAAGGTGTTTTCCGTAGAAAATCGGACAATCTTATTCCTCATTACTTTCATCATATAATATAAGTTGTTCTTTTTTCTTTTTCTTTCACGTTTACAGATGGATATGAATCAAATAAATGCATGTCGTTATTTATGTCAACCATCTTTTTGTGAAGATGATGGACCAATTGCTTATGGTTTAAATATTGGTTCCGGTTCTATTGGACATAATACAATAAATTCAAATTCAAGTGGATTAAATAATATTCTATCTCTGCCCAACTTTTCAACATCGTCATCATCATCATCATCGTCGTCGTCATCACGTAACCGTTTGGATACATTACACATACAAACTCTTGTTTGTAGTAGTTATCATACTACTGATGGTGAGTCAATGATTTCTTTTGTTATGATTATGAGTAGTATTGAAAGACTATTAGTGATTAGTAGGATTTATTGTATAGCAAAAGTGATTAATAATAATAAAATTCATGATATATTTGTAATATTCCAGTCGGTCGAAAACTGAATTTTCTAACATTTTTTCAGAGAATAAATAAATATATTAATTAATTAAAACAATCCAAGTTTAAATAGTACAAAACCACAAGACAAAAAATATTAATGACGATAAGTTTAAAGTAGGTCAGTTCAAGTCAATGTCATGTCACTCTGGTCATGTTGATCTATTTGAGCTATATTTTGTGTTCACGTGTGTTTCAATATGTGCGAAAAATGTGACATTTGTAATATGAAAGGATTGAGTTGAATTTATATGTATGATAATAGTGTGAGTTGTGAATAGAATTAGACATCGTAACTCGGATAGATAGTCCATTTTGAACGAATGGTAAGTTCTTTTCTATTGAGGGCTGTAGGAATCGACAATATTCGGAAAGCTTCTTCTACTTTCTCTTATTTGTACTTAGGAAGCCCTTTTCTGTATTATATTGATGGTATACACAACTATTATCGTTCTAAGTTGAAGTTTTTCAAGTTCTACAGTATTCTTAGGTGGCTTTTTGTGTAGCAGAGATGATTTTTGTCTTCAGTCAAGATTTTACGAGATGACTTGCTAATGCAGAAGGTATCACAGTCGACATACCCTTATCCGTAGATGCGATTTTGTGTTGACATAAAAAGGATCTTATCCTTTATACGAACTAAAGCATTTCAAAGGGTGTTAGTGAATTTGCAGTATGTGCTTTATATGTCATCTTAAGATTCCTTCGAGTTCTTATGTTGCAACATCGCAGTATGATAAAACTACGATATTAATCTACGATATTTCATTCAAACCGTTACTTAATAATGAATCAGTCTTTTCAGTACAGTTTTAATAGTATTCAAAGAAAAAATTATTGAATTGTAAGATGTTAGTTATGGGCTTCTGTTCTTTTTGCTCTTCATATGCAATGATCTTGATTGCTCTTCTATATAGATTGAAGACCAAAGCGATTTTCTCATTGAATGGATGTGCTGAATGGAGGTTAATACAACGATGAGCGTGTGTTAGGTTCAAAGTTCCACTTAGACTTTTCTCAATTACGTAATTCAAAAAATGGTTCAAGTTTTTGTGAAATGTGGAGGTATTGTGGAGATTGTTAATTGTATCATCAAAGACAGATTTTCGCTAGACAGCCATTACAAACCAGAGAGTTGGGGATACCTCAGCATTGCACTTCGAAGACCTTACCTGTGATTGAACAGAAAAACATGAGGTCTCACGGGGACCGCTTGACTGTTGAACCGCTAAGTCAGGATTCGGTAGTTTGCACTTCTAATTTTGGGCAATTCTCTACATAGCGCAACCATTTTTCATTGTTGCTGGCTATACTTATCTGATGCTCGACATAGCCGAAGTTCACAGGTCCTGACCTGTAACTTGAACTTAAGGAGTTACCTCTGAAAGTTTGGTCACTAGTAGTCATATGATGATTTTTGTTATTTGGTGTAATGGAGATTGTTAATTCTGTACATGAACTAACCTTGGAGTAAAGCGTTCTTCTGGTTCTTCACTCCTGTTCTCTTGTATTCAGGTGGCGGTATAGATTTAGTTGGGGTTATTAGAAACGAAGAGGGTTTAAGATCTTGCGTTTATTTATAAAATTCATTAGAAAGTTAGTCATCAATAAGCACATGGTAATTTCTGTTGTATGATGTTGTGGAAATTGTTAAGTTTGAAGTTTTACACCATAATCACATTCTTTTTTGCTTTTCTCTTCATTATATTAGAAAATTTAACCAAAGTTATATTGTGGCCCAATTATCAAGACGATATTATAATGTGTATACATCAGGGTATTTATTTGTCACGAAAAGATAATGAATTAAGAAAGGTAGGTTTTTTTGAAAAAACCTCTGAACAATAATTTAATTTGTTTCTTTTTGTCAAGTATTCTTCTTTTTTTCTTAACATGTCAACTAGATCGCATATGTTGTGTTGTATGTAAATAAACACAGAGAAAGAGTAATTATCTAAAATTTAGGTGATGTACAATGTGATTCATTATTTTTACGGAGAGAAGATTAATTATTACTATTTTTGTTTATTGATTGATTCACTTTACATATATGGTCATAATTGACTTCGGGTTCTATAAACAACCTAGGAATGTGACTCAAATTAGAGATGACTCACGAGTTTAACCAATTGAATTATGAAAGAGGATGAATACTATTTAGTGTCGAAATTCACTGAAATTAATCAAGAGTACTAACGTGTTATTGCCTATGGTTCCCAGTCTTTGTAGTTCTGTTTATTTATTTGTTGATTGAAGTTTTCTCACAGTTTCCTGTTGAAACTGTGTGTGGCTATTTAGTACTTGTAACATGACGTATATGTGATCTTGACTGCCGATAATACAAATTCATGATGCAATGTTTCTTGTCTTTCTCCTCCAACTACCCCACGTAACATGAAAAATGGTGTGGTCAGAGTGTTTTTTTAAGACTAAAAGACACATGGAACAAAACAACTGATAAGTTTCTTGTTTTGTACATGGAAGTTTTAAGGATAAGCTATACTTATTCTGCCAGTAAACTATGTCTTCAAATAAATGGCTTCTTCCATATGGTCTAACGTCTTTGTTCATTACACTTAAAATGGTTGTCACTTTACAACCTAATCAGTAGAGTTTAATTAGCACTAACAACTACACAAAATAATATTGGTAAATACTCAATAGTTATCATATCCCTCTACACCTAATAACCATCTTATCTCCTCGACCAATCCTTTCTTCGATTGTTATTCACCTCGCGCTGCTGAAGCAAACGTTGTGAGCTCACGAAACATTATTCCGGAATAGGTGTCTTCGAAGCATTACTCGTGTCTTATGGGACAACTGAGTAAGCAGTGCTGTTGTTAGGAAAAGGGTATTAGGTAAGGTTGGCAGATCAATAGATGAAGCATTGAGACTTCATCATTTGAGGTGATTAGGACATGTGCTGCGAATGCCCAACCACCGACTGCCTCGACGAGCGATGTTTTGTGGTGTCGGATTAGGTTGGAAGAAAGCTAGGGGCGGCCAAACCAAAACATGGCAGAAATCCATGAAGTCATTAGATTCTACTTCTTGAATAATATCTTCTAACCCTAATCTCTCTGATTACTGCTAATACCTTCACTGCAACTACTACTATTGGATTTGAATTGACAATTGCGTCTCTGTACTAATGTGGTATAACAACTTGAACTGATGTACTTACGTACGAAGTTCTACGTTGCTGTTGATTTACTCAATAGTTGCTTAAGCGGATCAACCTTAATCTGAATAACTAACTGGAAATAACTTTGACTGTACGATTTGGTGACGCGTCATTGTCTCTTTGTCTTTCTGATTCGCCTTGTCGACTTGGATAAGTGAGCACGAAACTGTAAGTCTATAGCTTCCTGCCGATTTTATCTAACCATCTATCTGAAGCCATTTAGATCAGTGAGCATATTACAACTCGATCGACATAATTGGATTAACATACATTTAACGGACAAAGTATACTGCTTAAACAATATTATGTCAAGTTATGATGCATGCTGATTTGTCGGTCTGTGCATCAACAACAGGTTATCGTTATTTTCCATTGACTGGTATGTTTATTAAATATGTTATGATAATTTATAACATTTAAAAATATACTGTGAAAAATCCGATGAACTACTTTTGAATAATTATACATAAGTAATTATTCTTCAACATAATTCCAATCAATCAAACTGTTTATAATCAATAAATTTTAAATTACTTTTCATACAGGTAAGATATTCTATTTTTGAATTATTTTTGTGAAAAAAAAAGAATTTGTCTTGTTAATGGGCAAAATTAAAACAATTATTTTTACTTAAACTAATTATTGTCATACAATATCTGTAATCATTGACTTCGTGTTAATCAAATGAAAAGAAATTATTTTGTATATCAAATTTCTATTTGTAGACTATCTACAATGAGAGTAAATTTATCTTATACAGTGTTAAACATCAGTTGTATCTAAGTTGAAATATTTTACAGTTCCACTATAGTTATTTAACTGACTGAATAAACGTAGGAACTTATGGCTTAGTTAGTGTATTACACTTTTGACTATTATAAAGTGCTGTATCTTCAAACTGACTGAACATGCATCCTTAGAGAGAGAGAGAGAGAAAGAGACGATGCATCAAATTACTGAATTACTCTTTCCTGAAATATTGTTTAATCAATTGTGATATATTTTTATTGAAACTTCATTATCACTTGACTGAAGCATATTTAAAATAGGGCTTCAATTAATTGGTATTTATGTGGTAGCTTATATGTCCTCCTCTATTAATTGGTAGAATTTATTTACTGTATATAAATTATAATAAGTTAGTCTATTTTTTCCAGTGTATAAAGTGGCTTATTGTTGTTATTTTGGCTTCTTCATTCTTTGTTCATTGTAGTTCAATCGTTCACTAATTGACAGTATGTTACAACTTCTTATGACTACCATGGATGAAACACAACAACATATTATCAATTTAAACTTAGGTTATAGTCTTCTAATGGGATTGGCTCGTTGTTATAAAGATTTATCAATTGATTCAGTACGACAACAAATAATACATAGATATTTAAATGAACCTGGATTTATATATGATAAAATATATCTACCTTATTTACAATTATTAAATGCTATGCTATGTGAAATTATCTGTCCACCATTATATCAAAATCATCAACATCATCATTCGGCCATTTCTATGCCTCCACATTCATTGTCATCAGCATCAGTATCCACTGGTATCGATCAAGCATCTAATCGATACAAAATGGAAAATCAATTCAACGATAGTGGTAATAATCGAACCATTAGCATAACATCTACTACAGCTGGACAATTTTTTGATTCAAAAGCTATACAACTTATCTTTTCAACAATTCATTGGGCATTTTTAATTATTGTTCGTTCACGGGTAAATCATTGTTAATTCTATGTTTATATTATACAATTTTAAATGATGATTAATGCGTATTTGAGCATTCTTTAACCTGTATTAGTATTATTTTTTTGTTTATTCTTGGATGGTATAGTATTTCAACTCGTTTTTTAAACTTTAACAGGGTTTTTTAAAATAACCAAAAGTTTTTTTTAAAATTTTCACAGTTTTTTAAAATTTTTTTGAAAAAATAAAATAAGAACTACTTTTAATTAAAATCTTCTTTAGCAATCGCTTTTAAACAATTGCGACGTACGTGTCTTGAATAACCTTGTAAATCATCCCTGGTTAATTGATTTACAGAATTTAGTATTAGATTTATAAAAGATTCGTTGGATCCGCTCGCCAGAGATCTTACAATGGATTTAATTTTCGAAAACGCGAATTCGATTGGGTTAAGCATGTAACTATAGGGAGACAAAAACATAACGTTTACTCCCTTTTCATCAAAAAGGTTTTGTGATAATTGAGTGATGAATCCTCGCATTATCAAGTATAAAAATACAATTCTTAAAAATTGATTTTTGATTGCATTATTCAATTAGTTGATCAAAAAACTGAATGAACTTATCTGAATTCACCGAATCAACAAATGTTTTAGCAAAGAGAACTTCATTTTCTGTTATAGCCGATATTAAACTTATATTGGTTCCACACGTTGATGGAACTAGGACACTTGCCGGTTTTCCTCTTGTAGATCTTCCCAAGGTTCTTCTTAAGTACAAATTAAAAGAAGATTCATCTATAAAAACTTTTATAAATGTATCTTCAATGTTCATAAAATTTTGAGCATAAATTTGGCGTTTGTTTTTACTGGATTCCGAATTTATATTGACCGATGTATAAGAAATCTTTTTCAAAGTAATCTGAAGTCTATAAATTATCCGTCTTATATAGATTCAAGAGAAAGGCCTATAGAAAAAATGTTTTCTATTTTTTCTCGAATTTCTACCATCGTTATTAACGGGTTTAATTCTATCAATTCTTCAACAAAATTGATAATATCACCGCATATCTTCTTATTTGATGGTTTTCCTGTTTTTTCTTCTCAACTCGCGATTCCTTTTTATACAACCTTATAATATTTGTAGCGGCCTGATAGTTTACATCTGTAAGAACTGCCGCATCCTTGACGCTGTATCCATCTTCAATAACTTTTTTTATAAGGCTTTTTCTTTTTTCATTCGAAATCAAGTTGTTTTTTCTATTTATTTCTGACATTATAAGGATTACAAAAAATTTTAAAAAACGCTGTGAAAATTTTAAAAAAGTTTTTTGGTTATTTAAAAAAAACCCTGTTAAAAGTTTAAAAAACGAGTTGAAATACTATACATAGAATCAAACCATGAAGTTTCAAGTTTCGCAAAGATCACAATGCGTTTAGATCATTAAACCTAACTTGTTTTATAATCCAACTTTGATCATTTATGATCATGTGCATCGCTTATTGAGAGTTACTGTAACACTTCGAAATTCGATCGACTATACAGGTCGCTAAAACTTTTAAACCATTAATGAACTCAGTACTATTATTATCTTTTTAATATTTAGTACAACAGTTTCATAAAATCAGCTTTATAAACAGGATTGTTTGTTAATTCTCTTGAAAACGATTGTTTCTTTACGTTTATTTGTTTGTACCTGATAAGCTCAGGCGTTCAACCTTAAATTTACATAAATGTATGATTCATCAGATCATTCGAAACGTTTGACGTAACTGTGTCACATCACATGTCCTCATTGTTCTGTTAGCAAAAATCGTTAGATTTTGCAAGAAGCTTTCGTTCTTTCAACGTATTTAACTTGTGTATAATCAAGAAATTATTTACAGTTGACTGATCACTGACTTAGAAGTGACCAATGTGATCTTTATCAGTCAAGTCCTTATGTTGATAGGTTGTAATGCGCCGACTAGTGACTCGATACTAACACCTAGCACCTTAACAAAGTGCACGCAATGTTGAACTACTTAGACTTGTGAGCACATTGCAACTTGATCAATAAAATTCAATCTGGACTGAAAAGTCCCTGAAATGCCTGGTGTTACTCACTGCCCAATTATCAGTCAAATGTAAATAGATCTTATTCCTAACGGTGTTTAGACGAGGCATAAGCAGCTTAGGGGTTGACTACCTTACCTCCCCCTTAGCAATCATTCATATATGCATGTACATAGTGCTTGAATTTCATTGTCATAACATCTCGTTTCTCAATTGAGGGAGGAAATATACTAAATACCGTTTTGATTTTGTTTGAATTTTTCGGTAATTAGGTCTACGTTATGAGTTTATGACACGTTATCCTCCTGAATGGTGTGTATATAAATCAATATCATAAATACAGACAGTAGGAATATGTAATTGGCAATCCAACATCTTTCGTATTGATTACTAATGAGTTTCACCTTCACAATTTATCACACAAACTATGCTCAATTTAGTTGATTTGGAACTCTAATCAAGCAATGTATAGGATAACTTTTGTTTACTGTCGTTCATTTCTCAAAATGATATTGACTCAGTTTTCAATATGACCTTTGGTTTCAATATAATAATATCATTATACATCATATTTCATGTTAGATAATCACAACTGGTGACTGGAAAGCTTTCAGGTCTAGGTGTTAATAACACCCCAGTCAGATATGCTACTGTTTTGTTCAATCTCCTATTTCTTTTAGCTTTTAGATACCATGCAGTTGAATGATAAATATCAAAAAGAAGCTGAATCAATGTTTACACGTCAAGTGGATTCGTTCCTGTCTGGAGTAATTGATGTGACTTGTCGTACTGATGATGTGCTACTGCGAGTGAGTAAATTTCTATACATAATAAACTTAAAATATTTCCAAGGATTTTCCTAGTTAATTCTACATGTATTTCATAAATTTTAAACAATTATAAACTATATTATTTATAATAACAGTGTAAGTTCGATAACCTAATTCAGTTGAATGGAGCAATTCTGTACACTGGGACCATTTACAAAGTAATCCTATCTTTTATCCCATAACAAAATGTGCGTAACGTTCTCTACTACTGATGAGTAGGTTAATTGTTTTTATGTATAAAGTCTAGGTTAGATTTACTCCCAAGGGCATCGTAAGTCTAGGGTGTTTCCCATTATACTGTTACTCCTTGTTCGACAGATCCTACTGAAAAGACTGCTTATAAGTAGTACATAGCGGATGTCATTTAGAGTTTGCTAGTCGACAGCCGAAGGGAGAGATTTTTGAGTTCAAAAGTATGGAGTATTCGAGTGTACATATTGCCTGAATATTCTGTTATTTCGTTAAATATACATTCTTTCCTGTCCAATACCTTATTCTTAAATCTCTATTACTCTAGTATGTGCTTTGGAAATTTTCTTTTACCGTTCTAAGGGGCTGAGGAGTTTTGAATCCATTTACATATCATGTACCAGGTTGTAAGATTTCGCTGTCAAGTTTGAAATAGTCACAGTAGTGGCTTTATTTAATATAACATTCTTCTTTAGTACAATCCTTTGTTATCAACACGCTCACTATATTCTCTTTATCTGTGTATATGGTGTAAAATAGATTCATACAATTGAGAGCTTTTACACTATTGAGATAATATTTATATTGAAGTGTAAATATAGATATTTAGTTAATATTACCTTATCGGCTTTACTGTTACACAGCACATGTACTACATAGGTTGTTTCATGATATTTCTGCATTATCTGCGGTTGATCAGTTCTCTATCTATTTTGGTCTATCTAATCAATGAACATTTTGGAGTACTAAAGTACATTACATTGATTGATAAGTAGGCAGAGTTACATATGTTACATTTGTTTAGTCTTTATTGTTGATTTAATACTATCCAAGTTTTAATGTGGTCGCTAGTTCTGAGTAACTCAACATTACATGTGATATGTTTTGATATTAAACTATGAAATATATTTAGGAATAAACTGTAAATCTATGCTTCATGCTATTAGACAAGCTTGAGTGAATTGATACTCCTTGTTGAATTCGAACATTCACTACTCTTAACTTCACAGTCTGAATTATCACCACTGAATTGCTGGAACAGCTGAATTCAATCAAGGTTACTGGGTTGCCTTGATAATGAGCGACAAGTAGCACGAATTGTTAGTTCACAGTTTCCTACTGACTACATTCAACCATCTTATTGAAGTACATTGAATGCTTAAGCTACTAGTTTTCAGATGCTGACATAATAATTTGTAAATTACCGCTTTAACATATATATCTACTTAAAATTTGCTCAATTCCTCCTTACTTTATTCTTCATTGTATATATTTATTAATTATTTTTTTTATTCAAATCCAGCTTATTATATTTAAACATGTGCCAGAAATTATTAAAAATCTAATAAAAGTTTATCCTAAATTAAAATTATCTCAATTCATTGTACGGCTGATAACACGTACATTGGATAGTTGTGAATTGTCAAGTCATAAAATACTCACTGAAACTATTCATTCAACTTTGTTTACTGATCCACGATGTCGTCGTCTACTAGTGCCAGCAATTCATACTAGTTTAACACATGTTTTTACAGCGAAATTGGATAAGGTAACTTTTTTTTTGTTTCAATGAATCTATGTGAATGTATGCTCTTTGCATACATTTTAATTAGTATTTTTTTTATTACTGTTATTGCTTTGTCTAATGTGTAAAATCACTTGTTCAGTTGATATATGTAATTCATTCGAGCAGTGATGGCATTTAGAGAAGTTCAAAGTAAGGTGATCGGCAGCTTTTTCACTATTAAACCAGTATGTTTTATGCAGCCATTTTGTCGTTCATATAGGGCATAACTACTACAATGAAGTGTATTTACATCAAATACCCATTTCATGTTATGTCTTTTAATTTAATTGTGCTTTTTATTCGATATGTTAAGTCATGTTATAGGTTAATAAAAGCAGACGATTAAAAGGATAGCTTTAGAAGTTTAGAATAAAATCTATTAGTGAATATTATACCCCAATATACAATATTTACACACTGAATAAATGGGAAAATGATCGAAATAGTTAGATATGTCACTAGAAATTTGTCCATTTTCAAGACAGTCTTCATTATGGACCACCGATTTCATCTAGTAAAACACAAACAATTTCAAAGTATTGAGCAGTTATTTTGTCTTGTTCCCAAATGACTTATCAGGAGTGCATATTTGAACCAATGCATTTTAAGTTTCGTGGTGAGTGCCGTGGAGTTAGATCACTGACTAATGGAAATTTATTTGTTAACACTTTTCAACAATTATTACTGTCCTCAGTAATGACTAATTATTGATAAATGTTTTAAATAAGACCAAAAGATAGATAGCTTCTCATTACAACTTCCGGAAATATCTACCTTGAAGTTAGTCAGCTTTTCAATATACGAAATGTTGTTCCATCTTAGATAAAGATATATCAACTGGAACTCAGTGTTTGAAGTACTTTTATTCAAGGCAATGGTATCAAATTCAAGCATCGATTCACTATAAAAATATGGTTTATAAATGATTACAAAATTTTAATGATATCGTAAACTGTTCAATGCAAAGATATAACATTTTCTTTATTGACCTCAAGTAAGCTAAATTAGTCACGTGAACATGTTCATACAGGTTTTCAACTTATTTTATGTAGTACACATATCAATCATATCATAATCACCGTAGAAGCTGGTACATATAATACATCAGTCCAAGTTTCCACAGCATACTAGCAATAAATTCTAGGGTGATAGCAACACTCTTTCAGTGGTAGTCAGAGATATTTCTCGTAGACAACATGATTCATTAAGATTGAATTCAAGGAATAATAAAGTGTAAGACTAAAAAGAAGCACTTTCATGTCTTTCTTTATTATCGCTGGTGATATGAATTATTAGAACAACACATATAAGCGAACAATAGTGTTGTTTTCGATTAGATCGTCATCAGGCTTTACTCTAATATACATGAATATTCATATGAAAATGTTAAACCGATCAAGGCAATTTGAGTCATAGTCACAATGAAATGATGACGATCTAATCGAAAACAACACTATTGTTCGCTTATATGTGTTGTTCTAATTTTCACAATTGGAGTCTTTGATATGAATTATGTCAGATGAAATCTTTGCAATAGATTTTTTTCTAAAATGTATCTGTACTTAACAGTCTCATTTGTGATATGCGTATATTTGTTACAAGATAAGTAGACTATGGTACAGTGCTTTGTTCATATATTTTTCAAAACATGTAAGTGATATAATAATTGTATTCATTTAAACATTCTTAAACATTTGTACTTTTAAAAATTGATTGAATCATTCAATCATGTTATAAATCTATTCTATCCATTCAACATGACTATAATTACTCTTGAATTAATTATTTTGTTTCAAATATATAGTCGGTTATTTGAAATGAAAAAAAAATTCAACTTCATAATTGTGTTCGATCCAAAACCTTAATTTAGTCTATAAGAGATTTGAAAATTCCGATTTAATAATTTACTGGTTTTTGTTGATGAACCAATTTTTTTCCCCTCTGAAGCAATAATAAATGAAATTCTAAATGAATGTTACTTTCATTAGATAAATCACTAACGTGATATTGTCCAGTTATCGATTTATTTCCAGATAAAATGCTTCAAGTTCGAAATTTGTCTAGTTATTGAAATTTGTTAAAGAGGGTGTTTACTAAACGATACTTGAAAAAAATTATCTTCATACATGTATGTAAGCAAATGAATAACTATAAATTCTCATTTAACATCTTTATTCCCATTTATTTTAATTATTATTCTCAATGTATACTACTAGGTACTCAGTTCAAAAATTCACGAGAATACAGCTATCATGGATGTATGGTGTGATGTATTATTATCATTTGTGGATAGTTTCACAAAAGCCACTATGCTATTATCGACTACAACAACATCAACAACTATTCAATGCCAAAATGATAATAGCATGAATACTATTGATAATCATGAACAAACTAATGAATTGAATGAGAATGCAGAAGATGATTTCACAACTAATATTTCACCAACAAATAAATTATCATTTATCATTGATAATAATTCTAATCAAAATTATTCAAATTATGATTATCAATCAGATGAAATATTTTATTTATTAATAAAACGTGATTTTCTTCGTTGGACTATGCAACAATTATCACGTATTCTAGTGTTTATACATCAACGTTATTCTACTTTATGTTGTAATGATAATGATAGATCTGATTCTATGTCAACTACTGGTAGCAGTAATAATGATGGGCATAGTTATAATGGTTTCAGTGATGTTTCTGGCATTGGATCCACGGGCAATAACAAAACATTACCATCATTTAGTAAAGTCTCGTCTAGAAAACACCTTACACCTCCTTCCTATTATCGGTTACAACCAATTATGGTAAATAATATTGTTCATTTTGAATATAGTGTTTATTAATTTGATTGTCATAATTGTATCAACTTACTTAATCCTAATATCCATAATGAAACATAGGCCTCCGACCAGCGAATTATTTGTTCTGGTTAGCGTCTTTTAGGGAGTTTGATTTCTGTAGGATGGGATCGCTAACTCCACACCCAACCCTCCTCTTTCATCCGGGCTTGCGACCGGCGGTAGCCCCAAAAGAGCTCCAGGTGGCATTAATTATATTAAGTGTTATATTATTTTCTGTTTGTGAAACCATGACATTTTTTGTATTGAATCATACTTCTTGAATAGTATCTTCTAATCCTAACCTCTCCGATTACTTCTAATTCCCTCACTACCTCTTCTACTATTGGATTTGAATTGACGATTACTTCTCTGTGCTGATGTGGTATGGCAACATGAACTGATGTACTCATGTACAAAGTTCTACGTTGCATCTGACTCTGACTTGTATTGAATGTTAGTCAATTCAAGGATTTCGTATGATTTTGGTGATACTGTTCGTTAATTTATTATCTATAAAGTTGAAATTCGTTTCACATTATTTCAGTTACTATTTACCTACACTTATTAATCAGTGAATTTTTATGTAGTTGAGTGGACATTACGTTTTATGTGTAGGACGTGTCTATTGTGCTTTAGAGATATCAGTTAATAAGAGATCATTCGAAATTAAGGGATATTGAATACATATGTTTGTCTGTAAAATAGAATTCTGATCATTGGTTATTGAATTCAAGCCCAAATCAGAATATGCTTCTTAGTTTATTTTTAAGAAATCTACTAAGTTAGTAGATACTTTAAATGTTTGTGCTTTACTACTGAACTTTTTATGATTTTAGTTATTTAGAACGTTTCTTATTTTCTCATTCTTTATTCATGTGTGACAGATCAAGCGAAGTACCTTATGAATAGAAGGCCATATAACAGAACTTGATAATTTCCTTATAGTTTTGCTATTTCGGGGGTGATTCGCATTCATAATCCGTTCGAACAAGGCCGTTTGGTCTGTAAGAAAAAAAACTATAGTGAAAATAAATTCTTTATTTATTAATGGAGACGTGGAGTTTTGTCCACCTGAGCTACAAATTTTCTCCATGATCTATTAATAGAGTCTTTGCAATATATTGCATACTGGTATGATCTTGGGTCTCCTATGTTCGAACCAACAATACTAATGCCCCCAATATATGACCTGACATGTTAATGTTTTACATCATGAGTGATGGCAGTTACTCAACAACTGAGAGACCACTGATTAGTGACCACTGCCGTATATCTGGTTCTTCTTAGTGCTAATCAAATTTCGTTGACCACTACCAAGTAGTAGATCAATTGTAAGTGCATCTCGATCCTAAAAGAGGGTAGTTGCGGCACGTATATCTCAGAAGTAACATCTCTGACTGTGAAACTGAGTAAAACGGGACTGAATCCCTCAGGGTCCATCACCCCTAAGATCACAGCACAAATTTTTGACGAGTGTCAATTAGTAGGAAACCTAGGTTCTAGGTTTCCTGTTCACTACTTCCAACCACCACCTCAAATATCAGTTAAATCTAAGTGGTAGATTTGAATCCCCTCTTTACTTTACTGTAAGTTTTTAAATTGTGAAGAACGTTTGAATCGAAACCAAGTACACTAATTTCTACTTAGATTCTTGCTTAGATTGATTGCCTGTTGTGTATGTAGTATAGCTTTAAGCTTTAAATACAAAAATCTGTACCTGGTTAATTATTTAATTAAAACGCTACTTTTAACTATAAGTAATATATATTCCTTTTTATTTTAATTCATAAATTTCTTTTCTCAAGGGATGTCTATCTACTGTATTATTCTCTTTATTACGAATGCTGACAAAATCTAGTTGGATAAAATTTTTTCAATCTATTTATTATTCCAGTGAAGAATCTTGCCAATGTAATTATTGTCATAATTTACAATTAGTCAATATTTATGATTTTCTACATGAATTATTCACATTATTCACTTTAATGCATTTATATCCTGCATATCCAGCACCAATGTTTCAGTCAAGATCTGATAGATTATGGACAGTTGGTCGTTATTCATGGGATGATGATTATAATAAAAGGCAATCAGAACATAATGATGCCAAGACAATATCACATGGGAATTCATCAATCAACACTAATAATAATAATCATAATAATAATGATAATTGTAATACTACTAATAATGTAGAATTATTCTCTCAATCATGGATTGAAATGTTAACATTAATATCCAATGCTGAATTAGACATTATTGAAGTACTTATTGAACTTGTCATGAAACCATATTTTGTTAATTCCAATTTAGATAATAAAGTAAGTTGTTTTCGCTGTGAGTATTAATGAATTGGTTGACATTGTCTGCAATTGTTGTTGTTATGGAAAAGAGGGAATGTGGTGGTGGTGGTGGTGGGGCTATCAATGAAATTCAGGATGTGTATTTCGTCCGACTTGTTGTTTTCAATGGATCAGCTGATCATAATAATAGTTTGATTGTTATTCTGTGTAAATTATTCTCTGTAAACTATTGTGATGATAGAAGAATTTGTTTACTGTTGTTGTTGTTGCTATTGTTGTTTTTTCCTGTCGAACAGGTTACATCAATCTAGATATTATGTCATGCAGGTTATATTTACAAGATGTTAATATAAATTATTGGCATATATCATTGAATTGTGTATCTATGAATTACACCGATACAATGATTGCTTGTTAAGCATGTCACTTTATTAATGAATTATATACCGATCGTGTGCAGTTTTTCAGTAGTATATTTTAATCACGAATTTTCTTTTTCTTTTCGAAGTTTGGCTTTTCGTTTATTTTTTTCTTCTTTGTATACTTGCTGAAAAATGTAGTAATATGTCTTTTTCACATCATTGGTGAAATGTTGAAAATGATGGTACTTGACCTGTCACCATGAGAAGTCACTTACTTGACTTGACTTGTAGACCGCTTCACTTATCTTGGGAGTCTCATTAGTGCCGATGGCCTGGTGACTGACGAAATCTCAGCTCGGATACAGAAGGCTCGATTGGCTTTTGCCAACCTGCGTCACTTATGGCGTAGGCGAGATATCCGTTTGCTGACTAAAGGACGAGTGTGCTGCGCAGTGGTTCGCTCCGTCTTACTTTATGGCTGTGAATCATGGCCAGTGAGAGTAGAAGATATTCGTAGGTTACTGGTTTTCGATCATAGGTGTCTTCGAAGCATTGCTCGTATATTGTGGGACACCCGAGTGAGCAACGCTGTTATTAGGAAACTGGTGCTAGGTAAGAATGGCAGATCAATTGATGAAGTATTGAAACTTCACCAGTTGAGGTGGTTGGGACATGTGTTGCGTATGCCGAACCACCGACTGCCTCGTCGAGCCTTGTTTTGTAGTGTAGGAGTAGGTTGGAAGAAAGTTAGGGGCGGCCAGACCAAAACATGGCAGAATCCATGAAGTCATTGACAAGTGGACTGAGCCATGTCAGTAACTATCGAGTACCTGGTTGGGGTCCGCGAGATGATAATAATCGATGGTTAGAGACCTTAAATGACATGGCTCAAAATCGTTCGCAATGGGCCAGTGCATTTATTCTCTGTGTTCTCTCAAATCCTAATCTTCTGGATTCTTCAACCCCTCTAGTTTCGACTATCTAAACTTTTCTCATTTAATCATACTTCTTGAATAATATCTTCTAATCCTAACCTCTCCGATTACTTCTAATTGCCTTACTACCTCTACTACTATTGGATTTGAATTGACGATTACTTCTCTGTGCTGATGTGGTATGGCAACATGAACTGATGTACTTATATCATTCTGTGTAGTTTGTTAAACAATCTTAGATTACATCGAACTATCCGGTAAAGTTATTCCGAAAAGAGACCTTGAACGACATGTCTCACAATCGTTTTACAATAGCGTAGGTGCATCCACTCATTGTGTTCTATGAAATCTTAATCTTAATCACCACCTCTATCTTTTTCTTTCCAAAGTTATCTCTCTGAATTACACTTCTTGAATAATATCTTGGAACCATAATCTTCTTCATTACTGCTAGTACTCTACTATCTCTACCACTATTGGATTTAAACTGACAATTGCATCTCTGTGCTAATGTGTTATAGCAATCTGAACTGATGTACTTACGTATGAAGTTTTAAGTTGTAACTGACTGATTGACTGAAAAGATAGCACTATGAATCAACAACCAAATTGCCTAAAATATTGTTTTATTATGTAGCCACTGATTATACTCTAAGTGATAAATGTATGCGTACACTTGTATCTTCATTTAATTCTTCTATCATGTGCTTGACGTTCATGGTGTTTTTATTCTCTTAAATTTTTTAAATAGTTTTTACTAATTTCTGCTCAATCATCGTCATTATCATCATCATCATCAACAACAGCAACTACAGCAGTATGTTATACAGAACCTTGTTTAACTAGCGACTTAATTGAATTAATTGCACAATGTTTAACCGGATTTGCAGTGGAACAAGCTCATTTATGTGTTGAGGCTTTACCACCAGTGACTAGAACTCGCATTGATCAAAGTTTAACTAATCAGTCGATTGATATGAGACAAAGAGCTTGTGATTTACTATTATCGTTATGGCATTCTATTGGTAAATGAGATAAACCTTTTATACAAAATTATATATATATATATATATATATATATATATATATATATATATATATATATAACATAAATTTGTTTTTTTTCCCATTATTGTGTATATTTTTTGTCAGGCATAAACTTTATACACAGGTGGAATATTCAGATTTCTTCTCATGTCCTGTCCACCTTGATATTCACTGATTACTGTTGACCATTAACCTGTGATTGTCTGCATGTTTATTTTGATTATCTCTGCCTTTTTATCTGATTCTCAATTCTATATTAATTAATTATTTTTCTGATTGATTAATAAATTGGATTATTTTCGATGTGTTTGTTGATTGATCATTGACTTGTTTGTCAAGCTTCCAAAACTTCTCTCTGGTATTCTTAGTCGATTAAGAAATCCGTGTATGTTTGTTTTACCTGATTTGGTTTCTACAACGGATTTATGACAAATAAAACAATAATATTCGACCAAAAGGTTCGCCTAGAGTTATTAGCATTAACAGTACTGATGAGCAGTAGTTTTCATGTTCTAAATGGCTTGTTTAGTGTCTAGTGCTCATAAAAACAATGTAAAATTAGCGTCTTACAGAGTATATTTATGTTTATAATTGAATCATTTGAACTTGGCAGTAGTCCTTTACTTTTCTCAGAGATTAAGTTATGGATACCTTGCGATTGCGAAACTGTAAATGACCTACAAAATCGATTATAGTCCCTTTGAACTAAGACGTTACATAATTAACTGTAGTAATTATGGGGCCAAATTTTGCCTTGATTCCCTGACCCACAAGGAGATGATTGCATGTATGAGCAAAGAACCCACAGTCTTTGACTGAGCCTGTTACATTCTGTGATGATTCTGCGCAGTTTTATCAGTGATAATAAAATCATAACCTATCATAATCAGGATGCGAGATAAGGGTTATATGTGTGTATAGGGACTTGTTTAAGGATGTGTTTCTGGTGAATGAATAAATCTTCACTGCATCAGTCTTTTTTGTTCTTACTTCACATCATAGAAATTGCAACGGTTCCTTAGTTGTCAAGCGAAATCAGTAAGAACACAAGCACAACAGAGTTGATCAATACAAAGCAATGACAACAGGCGGAAAATGTGTTTATAACTTAGAATAACATCATTGATTCTTACAATTATCATTATCATTGTTGCTTCTGAAAGAATTTTTCTTTTGTAACCATTTTTCCATTGTAGACGATCGATCAAAAGTGAATTATATTCACATATTTCTACCAAATGTTATCAATATGGCCACACTGCCGCTTCCTCGTAAGTTGTTCTTTTTTGTTATATTCTGAATAATTGAATTATGTAGAATGATAGGTTTGGTAAGGAGAAATATTCAATCATACCTTCTCTATAAACATATCCACATATGCATTGCTTATCTAAATCTCACAGTATAAGGTAAATATTTGTGGTGAATAAGAAATAGTTGAGTAAAAGATAGGATCTTGCTGAATAATAGTTAGTTGTCAAGTAATAGTGGAGATTTTCATCAGTTCCTCTTTAAAGTTATCTATTTTTTCTTAGTCAAAGGAATAAATAGCCATGACAGGATCTTCGGCAGCTTGTTTGTTTGTTGAAATATAAATTACCAATGCTAAAATATTAGCTCAATTTTAGTTATTGACAGATTAATTCATTCTTGATCAACCGACCTTAAGAAACCAAATCACAATCGTACACATGTACTACTGACCCTGGCTAGGATAAATTACTTCCTGCAGTATTCTATTGCGAAATTGTTACTGGTGGAATCAGTTACTCTTTAACTATGTTTATTACGAATTACATAAGTAGATTGTGAGTTGAGTTTTTCAAAAGAACAGTCAGTAAAGCTGGTCTGCGGCCTATACTTCATTAGAGGTAAGTAATAAGTCGTACACTTGCGATTATAACAGTATTATCTAATAAAGTAGACGTAGGTGTTTTTTTTTATTTTAATGAGTTTAAAACTTATAGACTTTCTTTAATCATAACAATTTATTCGTATTTTTTTAATTGTACGCTGTAATGTTGTGGTATTTTATAGGAATACGCGAGAATTGTGTTCATTGTATATTGAATGCATTGACTATTCATGCACCTACTGTGGAACATGTTTTTGTTAGTGAAATAGATCGTGTTGTTCAATGGGCTGGTACAGATTTTGCTGCAGATATTCGTGATCTCTTAGAAAATGATTTTTCTAAAAAGCGTAATCCATCATCACAACCGCCTCGTCGTTCACATGGCACGGAAGATTTCGATCATAGACAACAGCGAGTAATTAGTGATTTTAGCAAACAAATTGATTGCTTACTTCATTATGGTAAATTTATTAATCATCCATCACAGATGAATGAAATGTTGGCATTTTGCAATCTAAGGGTAAGCGATTTCGTCTTTTGTTTTTTGTTTTTGTTTTCAGTCAATAATGTTGATTATGCTGTTAAAGTATTATTTTATATTGTCAAAGATACTACTCACAAGTAGTAACATTTCTATTTGTGTAAAATCTATTCTGACAGGCTAAGCTCGTAGGATCATAGCTGTCATTCCGCTTTTCCTAGTTGTTAAAAGCTAATTGCTTTGTCAGTTTAATTAGTCAACAATAAGTCAATGGCTGGTGGTTTAATGGTATTCCCTGAGGTGTTTTTTTCCATGTATTGTTGCAAGTTTCTCCATATATTTTTGTTATTTGTTTGCTACCATTGATTATTGTTGTTCGTTACTCTCTGAACTGTGACCTCTGACCTCATACATCTTTATTATTGATGTTGTTCAATCAATAGCCTGATATTGTTTTCTATCATATGCTTGTTTGTTTACATATAAATTATTTTGTATGACTTGTAGAAATTCTACGAATCTATCAACCGTAAAGATATGATCTTGCGTTACTTATATCGATTGGATCGATTGCATGCAGCTTATTCTAATAAAACAGAACGTGGTTATACTTTGGAACTTATTAGCGAAAATTATTCGGTAAAAATTCACTTTTGAATTTCATTGATAAAATTACAATTTCTCATTATAATTTTCCAATTTCCATTTTTTTTTAAAACGTATAATAAATGTATGGTACTGTGTCAGATTAAATATGTTATGAATGATTCATATGGATTGACAAGTGTATTTTTCAGTGTTGAATTACTATGAAATGAATTGCAAACTATTGTTTTTTTTTATGAAGTTGTGGTATTTCAATTGCTAAGACATTTGGTTTTCATCCGCTAAGTCATAAGTTCACACATTTATTTATCTGTATCCGCTTGAGTACCTGTATAGTTTCACCAGTTGTATAATTGAGAGTTTACTCGAAGCTATGTACACCCATTTCTATCCCATAAGTGGGAGATTTTTGTGTGAGTAGTTTCTGATTGATTGTAATTACATTCATCAATTGTTTATGAGAAAAATCTAGATCCTTCATCGTGTGAATGATTTTGATTCAACACATTAGTAACTTGTGATAAAAAGATTGTTATTCAATACAAAAGGTTAGTACTTTATGCACATATTTGTGTTTATTCACATTGTACCACAAGGGAATGTTGAAGTTTTCTGACGAGTATGTATGTTAACAGCTATAAATATTCATAAGAAATTAGCAGCATTAAACAAAGGTGTGTGAATATGAACAGCTGGATTTGATGAAACCAAATGAACTGATACGATAGTACCGATCTGTTTGAACTGGGACAAACGAACAGTTAACCGTTGATGATTGTGGTTCATACTCAGTAGTCATAGTGGTGAATCTCTGGACTTCCTATAATAATTCAATTCAGCAATCAATAATTCGATGAATTAATAATACATCTTTGTGAGATCTCCATTAAATTGTTTCAAGTCTATTTCAATACCAACCAGCATCTTGTTTATTGATTGGCATTGGTTTAACATGCCAAAGCCTTGTCAGTTGACGGCTATTCAGAGTCGCAGAAGCTGATTTTTCTTCACTACCCAGTACTTACTTAAATACTTACACCTGTTAACCCTCATGAACCAAAGGTCGCCGTTCAGCATTCTGCAAACAAATTTGTTCTCCACTCTCCTTACGAATTGTTTCCAGTTGCTATTCATTATCTTCATGTCTGCCTCTGATTCTCTGCACAGTATATTCCTTGGTCTACCTCGTTTCCTTTGGATTTAAGGATTCTAGGTTAGAGCCTGCCTCGTAATGCAGTTTGATGATTTTTGTTCACTGTGTCCCTTAGTTAACCGCGAGGAGAAAGAGAAAGGATCAGGGAAAACAGCCCTGTCTGACACCAGTCTTTAGTAGGAATGCACCCACGAACTTCCCTCGATGTACAACTTTACAGCGCAGTCCGTCATAAGAATTCCGTACGATGTTGGCTATCTTCTCAGGTACACCATAGAGTCAAAGAAGGCTTCATAATGTTCTGTCCATGCTATCAAATACTTTCTCGGAGTTAACGGAGTTGATGTTTATTGATCAGTTCCTTTCAACTGATTGTTTCACAGTGATCCGTAGTGTCGCGTGCGATTTGGTTGGTACGCGACTGATCCTCACGAAATCCAGCTTGTTTATCTCGAAGTTGGGCGTTTACTGAATCCTTCATTCGATTTAAAAACACTCTGTCGAAGACTTTTTCTGGTATTGGCAGTAAAGCGACGTCTCTGTAGTTCTCATTCTTGCTGATATCTTCCTTTTTTGTATGTTGATGAGATATCCTTCTTTCCATTCTGTTGTTGCTTGTTCTTCTTCCCAAATCTTGCTGGATAGCATGTGAAGAACTTTTTCAGTTACTACTGCTTGCTTTCAGTGCCCCGGCTGGTGTGTTTTCTTGTCGCGCTACTTTATTTCTTTTGATTTGTTGAATGACCATGCCGATTTATTCGGTTATCGGTGAAATAACTTCAATCGGGAAGTTTTTGTGTGCTGCTTCGATGTTGATTGGGTTCAGTTGGAATCATTACATAGTACCTTATGCCTGATATTGTCATTACTGAGTTGGTTTTGCCACGCTACATAACCACTTCTTAGACTTTGTCTTTTGTCAAAAATAATTGTATACCTGTGTGCATGCATTCAAACTCATACATTCTTAGCCCTTAATAATCATTTTCCCTGTATTTTAGTTGATTTGACTTTTTTTAAAAGTTTTCATATTAGCTGTAAAATAGTTTTCAATACTTATTTTATTAATTCAACTTTTTTTGTAATAACAGGTAAAACCTAAGTAAAGGTGACAATCTGTACAATATTACGCGCATGTTTCATAATTGACTGACTCTTTTTCTTCCTTTGTCTTTCTTTAAAAAACACTAATCAACAATAGTGGGATGAAACTAGTGTGGATGTGAGTGATGTATCTCCGCATTATGTGCAATATGGAAAAAGTTCATCACGAGAATTGCGTGAACGTTTATTACTCGATAGTTTTGAGTATTTAAAACAAGGTACTGATTGGGAGCATGCAATTGATATATCAAATAAATTAATACATTTATATCGTGATATTATGCCAAATTATGAACGTTTAAGTGAAATATTGGTAAGTTTTACTCAATATATTATTGTCATTTTTTTATTGTGCAGAATAGAATTACAGTTGTAGAGTTTAATTACGATCATATTGTATTATATTTATCAGTTTACATTTATTTATGAAGGAAGTAAGTGATAATGAAGACTAATCCTGTCTGATTTCTATTTCGGATGATTAAATTGTTATGCTCGTCAGTTGATACGCTTGAAACAATTACGAGTTCATCTTAGTCGGTAAACGATAACGAAGAAAAATGATCCAGTAACACGGTAGGCTACTCTAATCCGAGCGTCCCAAGGCCCTCACTAAGTAAAGGAAGAAGTTTTGACACAATGTAGAAAGTGTATTCTACAAGCACTCAAAAATGAGGTTTTCAAGCATACAAATCGAGTTTATTTATACATCATAGAAGCGTCCTTGAGAGAGCCACAAAATAGCGTACTAAAATAATGCATCAACCAATGAAAATCAAGGATTGTCGGGGTGGGAAATGTAATCTCAAGGTAAGCTAAGCTCATGTGAAAAAGCATAAAATCCAAAATTAGGACCTTTATCAAGTGAATTCTGGGGATCTAACGTCCCAAACAGAAATATGTATTCGCATGACTTCACTGTCGGTTAGCATCAAGTAATTCGAGTAAACGATCACAGTTCTTTATCCTAAAGGCAATAATTCGGAACTACTCATGACCTTAAATATTAGTCATTAAAATCTCTTTATTATGAAATTGTCAGGTGTTCATTGTTCTTGAATTTTCACACCCTCTAGTGAATCAATACAATTTTCAGTTTTTATTTACTTGACGTTTGATTTAATTGGTTATTTTTGATTATCGCCTAAAATCTTTTCACAGTCAAATGTTTAATCAGATTATTCACATCGCAATTATACCACTTTTTTTAAAAAATCCACTCTGTTTTCTCTGACAGATTTTAAAAGTTATTTGCCTCCATAACATATTCTCTTTCTATCTCTCACTATGCAACTTTTTTCACCTACCAAAACATCTTACTGGAAGCATATTTAAAAAACTCATCAAATATAAATATTTGAGTAAACTACTGGTTCCAATAGTTTTACTGTTTAGTATTCATGATTACTGTATTACACTGGCTAATATATGATAGAGGGAAATAAATGCATTAGACAATATCATATCTTTTAAATTATGAACTAATCTATGTTAGATCACCGTTGGAGACCTGAAATACCGTCTCGTTCTTGTTTGACACTCATCAGGAATAAGCAACCCTGCGAGCAAGAATCGAACTCGAGACCTTCGATCTCTCGTGCAGATTCTTAATCTCTTGACCACTGAACCGGTACTCAGCGATGTTAATGTCTAACTTAAATAAATCAACGATATTGCGTAACTGTCATCTAATGTCTTCGGTGCCCAACTGCCTCACACCCGACACACTGAACTCCATTGGTCAATGCTACTCACTAGAATTCTGAGAATTTCTTCACGAAGCTAGTCACTAGTGACCAAAATTATCAAATTCTCAGAATAGGCTTGTGATTTCAATGAAACTCAACAATCTACACAACCATATACACATTTTATTATATCTTTAGAATAGTAAACTTATGGATTAATTTTATCTTAACTATCATCAGTATATTTGAAATATCATCTAGGAAACTTTATAGTAAGGCAATATCAAGTTCTATTTGAAAATAAAACACATCAAATCTCTCTTAAACATGGTTTTCAATGAACGTTGTCTTTTCTTTGTACTTGTTGCTACATGTACATGTATATTCATAAATACATTTGTTGGTAACCACAGAAAGGTATCAAATAATTTTCAGTTGATTTAAAGAATATTTATTGTCATGTTATGAAGATATTTACGATGAATGGATGAAGAATCAGTACACATATTAGAGTACTGATAAACGTTTACAAAGTCTTCAAGGAACTAATATTATGGAAGAAAATCTGTTTTTCGTTCATGCTGCAGTCATAAGGGATAAAATTCCAGGTAGAATAGATGAAAGGATCAAGGTGGGAGCATAAAACGTAGTCTCCTTGCACCTCAACTGTTTTCAGCATATAGTACCAAAATCTCCTGAAATTAATCATTAAGGGATTCAATACTCTTGAGGTCCTGTCCAAATACATTGATCATTATACTTGTAATTGTGACAATAAGTAAATAGAAAGGATTTTTTTAAAATGGCATTTACAAAGTATTCTTTACATTATTCCTTGGGAGTCATGTTTGAAAGAAAGTGACATTTTCACAAGTTAGATGAATAATGGACACAATATAAACGTCAAAGTTGTTTTAAATAATTGACAGATATTAACTATCTATTTGAAGAAAACAAATCAAACAGTAAATAGTCGAGCAAATATTTGCTGCCAAATATGCTTATATATTCCAAAAATTAATAGATAAATTGAACTTAATTAATTTATTACAATAAAAAGCACTGACCAGTGTTAATCACTAGTGAATCATCATGTGATTGAAATGTTTACAGTAAGTAATCTTTGTTCATTGATGTCGACTACCACTCAACAGTTTTTAAAATCTGTTTAATGAACAGAAGAAAAAAAGAACGACAGTGTTTAGTTCGCACAAACACAGAGAATAAAAAATCAAATGAATTTCTCGGAATGCCGGTGCATTCAGCTGACGAGTCTTGAATAGAACAAGACGCGCGTTCAGAATTCCATTACTTGCCACATTCCATCTATCATATATAATAATTGATCAAAACGATTCTTTTTTTCCATGCAATCACTAATTTTTTCATTGCACTATCATGTTTATTGTGTGTATTTGAATATACGTCTATTAGTAGTATATTGGCTATCGTTTTAATTTTTTTTTATCTCAGTAGACAAACTGAGCACATATTTTATTGACATTTAAACCTATTACTATTTTATTAATATTTATGGTCACATAACCAGAACTTTTCCTGAAGAGATTATTAAAATAAAATTATAGTAAAGTTTCAAACTCTTATTTTGTTTTATTCTTCTATATCTCCGACTTTGGTCTGTTGGAATAATAAGACAATAATTCATGATAACACTGAGATCTATGGATTAATTGAAGGCTTAGGAATAGAGAAATAAAAATCATAACAGTTTAAGTAGTATCTATTGACTCTACAATAAAATTATAAATAATCATTCTTCATTAAATAGTCTGTAAAGGTTGTACACTCTCATGAAATGATAAACATTTCTTTATTATGTTTAATTTGGCTTTCTTTTTTCCCTTAGAAAGAACAAGCTGATTTGTATAGAAATATTGTTACAAATGAACATTCACGTTTACCATTTCGTTATTATCTAATTGAATTTTATGAACCAACAACATCCACAGTAATGATGATACCAAATCGTAAATTAATTTATCGTACAACATCTGATTTAGGTGATGTATTAAATATGTTAACTGAACAATTTCCTGATGCAAAAATATTAAATCAACCATTAACAAATACAAATCAATCAACATTGAATACATTTTGTATATTTGCTAGTGGGAATTTAGAACCGGAACCAGAAATACCGGAACATTTAAATTCACGTATTGTTGATAATAAAATTAAAAAGTAATTCTATTCTATTTTATTTTTTTAAGCTGATAAACATTAATTTCATTTAGTTTGCACACAATAATGTCAGTTTTCAATGATTGGAAGTAGTTGATAACAAACTATTAATCTAATTGTTGCGTGCGCTAACTGCTGTTCATCAGTGAGGTGTAGGTGTAGTCATGTGGATCGCCTTGATGTTGCCACTAAGTCACTAGTATTTTTAGCTATGTAATTCTCGTTGGGTTATTTACTTGAAATTGCTTACAATATCTGATATATATATATATATTGGTCCACCAGGGTATCAGGTACCTGTGTGGTTGCACCACAGGATTGAGCCGAACTGTTCATGTAGTAATGGTAAAACGTGCCCAGTCTCTATGGTTCTCCTGAAAACCAATGTAAAATTTCCCTAGACAATACAGGGTAAATTTATATAATTGAATAATAATAATAATAATAATAATAATAATAATATATTTATACCGTAGAGAGTGAGATCTGCGCCTAAACAACATAATTTTCATTTTAAAACATTCCATCCCTCAAAGTATTCTAATTCGAACTGTATACGACCTCTTTGTGGTAATATGATTGCTTACAGGTGGTTTGTCTTAGATAGAAGAGTGGTAAGTCGTCATTAGTTTGTTTCAAACAGTTTCTGGTGTTTTTTATTGTTAAGTTTTTTTGAGTCCAAATTATTATTCCGTTTTTCTTATTGTGTGATTTGATTTTCTTTTATGTTTAGTTACTATTCTAAAAATCGTGTGAAATACTTTTTGAGGCATAGACCATTGCAACCAACTGAGGTTAGTTTTAAACATCCAGTTTTTTTTTTGAAACCTTATGTTAGTTTTTTACTCATTCCAGTTATTGTCAATTGGATGCTTTTAATTTACAGTGAATTACTTTGAAGGGGTTTTTTAGATGGTGGAGAAAATTTGTAGCTTAGATGAATGATTTTTGTTTGATGTCATTCTCTGCATTAGGCGGTCTAATCGTTTCCATTGTTCTTCCGAACGACGTCAGTGTCAAGTTGGTTTACCGCTGGAAGTCAGGCAGTAATTAATATTCATTTCAGCTCAGAACTCAGCTTTACACACATTTAACTTTACCAAGGATCAAATCCAGGATGTTCAGGTCCCACTGCAAATTTCTATGTTGTAGTCAAAAAACCCAATTCCAATCTTAATTCATTTCCCATAGAATATGCCTGAAAACCCACTACTATTAGTGATAGTTATTTGGGGCTGACTGGTTTTCACTCATGCATCAAATAAGATCTATCCACAATGGATGATACCTACAAATTTACAGAAAATGTGCATAGCACTCGTGTGTACGTACGAAGTTCTATGTTGCTGTTGAATGACTGACTGATAGCACTTATGTAATCATTTTGTTTATTCTTATCACGTTAATGTTACATAGGTGTCATTGATTGAATGGTAGACAGTTGTATGATTACATAGGCCATTGAACTCAGTATTCACTAAGAAATCTAAAAGAAAGTCTTTTTTCTGATCCTTAACGTAGTCATGAATATGCTCTATCACGAAACCTTAAAAACTAGTATGATGAAGCTGTTCAACACTGTTTATTTTTCAATGATTTTCTTCTTAAATATATCAGTAAAAGATGTTTTATACAATGATTAATAATGACATACAATAAATCATTTTCTTCATTAGATTTAATAATTATGATAAATTGTACAGAATAATGAAGTGTAGTATCTAATTCGGTTGAAATGAGATTTGTTTTTAGTACACACTTGAAAGTGAGTTTCATTTAGAACAACTAACTTGTTGTGAAGAATCACTGATCGACAAAACATTCTGGACAATCATTCCACTGTAATGCATTTCGTTTATAGTTAGCAATAGAATTTAAGATGTGTGTAATTTATTCTATTCACCACTTTATGAAGTATATCTGCTTTGCATTGGTTTTCGTATTCAAACTTCTACTAATTCCTTCATAACTATTGAACAAATTACTGTTGCATTAGTTCAGTGAATAAATACTGAAAGGGATGAGCGTTTGAAGCGAAAGGTTCTGAGTGTTCATTTTTTACCATAACTACTGAATATTATACATCTGTTCTTTTTCTTTTTCCAAACTCTAATCTTCTGAATTCCTCCTGGCCTTAGATTCTCTTTTTAAATCTGTTTCACTGGATTATACTTCTCGGATCATATTCTTTAATCGCTAATGTTTTCGAATACTACTAATACTGCTACTACCTCTACCACTGTGGGATTTGACTTGACAATTTCATCTCTCTGTGCTAATGTGATATTGCAACTGGAACTGATATACGTACGTACCAAGTTCTGCGTTGTTGCCAGCTGACTGAGATTATCTGATTAAATGGTTATAAACTTTGGGGGGGGGGCATTGCTCAGAATCTTTCGGGTATGGCACAGTTTAACTCGTTTATTTTTATTGTTTCAATTTCTATGTTTCTTTATTCCAGAAAAAAGATGGTCGTCTTGTCACTAATACAGAAGAAACTCGTTATTGTATTGCAGAACCAATGCCAAATATCATTCCTATTATGCCAGTGGATAGAGTGGAAATTGTAAGTTAATTACATGTCTTTCCAGTGATATCAATTGTAGAATTATTGTTAACTGGCTAACACAAAATAGTTGTCTAATTCTTACTATTTGAGAATTCCTTTATAATGTGAATGTATGATCATGTTTGGGGTCTCAGCAATCATAATTCTCTTTTGAAATACTATGGTTTTACTCAGTAAACTAAACTCTTGAAGGAGCTCATAACTAGAGAAGATATTGTCACAAATCTCTGCAGTTCTTGGGTAAGTCATTAGTGATTCACATCAACAATAACAAACTAATAATATCGTTCGATGTAGCATCCTTATCTACTTCAATCGAACCGAAATTGTCAAAGGAAACACTGTCCTCCTGCTCCTCAGCATTGAAAAATCTCCATAATCAAAGTCTATTAGAACTCATTGATTTATGCTTGGTAACTTAATGAAATCTACAAACAGATGAAAGGAACGCCAACGGGATCATCAGTATCATGACTTATTGCAGAAACGGTGATGCCGTGATTGGAATCCTCGAATTTACCTTTGATTCAGCCAAAAATGTGGATTCATTGTGTGAACGACCAATTCGTCATCATCAAAAAGAAAGAGCTGGAAAACAACTACAGTTTAATCAGCAGCATCTTTAATGAGGTAAAATTCACGATCGAAAAGGAGTCAGACAGCAAACTATCACTCTTGAATGCATCAGTCATCGGAATCAGCACGAAAAAACGTCAGACTCAAACTAACTTACACGGATCAAATTCTCAACTAAAGTAGCAACAACCCAAGAATTCACCAAACCAACTGAATATAAACCTGATTCAAAAGGGTGAGAACATATTAAATCACGCTTATAGCTTGGAAAAGTAAGAACAAATACCTAATCACCATCTTTCAAAAGAACGTCTATCCACCCAGCTTCATCGAAGAATTTCAGTTCAACTTGTCAGCGAAACGAAGTCAAATACGGTAACCAACAAACGGATCATCCTACCATATATTAAAGACAGACATATCAGAAATTACTATGGAACTATTGAAGACGTTTGGAATGGTTGTAACACATGAATCAACAAAATCATTTCAATCAATCCCATACAAAGCAAGAGATGCAGTGACAAAAAATAAGCTCTTCCGATTATGAGATACACTACATGGGACAAAGTGGACACTTGCTTCACCTTTTCCCCGCACAAACATCAATTAGTAGTTAAACCCCATGAAGTGTCTTTGCTCACATTAATTACATGTGGACATTTGTGGACATCTATTCGACTGAAAAGCTGTAGAAATCATGTATAAAAAAATCATTAATAAATGATTGAATCAAGAATTCGATCAAAGAGAGAGAGATATATATAATTCAAATAAACATGCAGACAATCACAGTTTAATAGTGAACAATAATCAATGAAGATCAAAGTTGTCAGGATAAGTCGTTAGTCATATGTCAATAAATTCGAATATTCCACTTGTATATGAAGTTTGTGCTGATGACTTTGTTAATGAGAACATTGACGACTTCATGTTTTTTAAGCATCTAGTTCAAAGAATAAAACCTCACCAAAAATAAATAATATCACTTTTAATTAGTTAGTTCTTCTGCTTTTTGTTCACTGAAATTGTTTTCATATTTATATTTTGTTTTTAAACCGCTCATAGTCCATTTCATTTAAATTTAGATCATCAATCTCTGAACTTTACTTGTGATTGTTTTCATGACTATAAATTTTAATTCAGTGAATAGTTTACTTAGAATAAGAGAAAACATCATTTAACTTTAATATCTGTTAATATTCAACTAATTCTTCATCTATCCGATTATGTATAGCATAAATATGGAAGAATCGCTTCTTTAAATCCCAATTCCACCAGTATAAAATAAACTATGAATTTAATAATCAAATATTGATTGGCAGTTAATTATCGTATTTGAAGTTCGATTCCATAAACACTAGAGCACATATGCAATTCTTTTGATTTCTGATCAATGATCAGTGTCATGTACCTTAAGTCCTCCTTAATTCTGATAGAATTCTAACGAGCAAGTCACAATCTGATTATCAGTCTAAGTGACTCAACATCGTGTGCATTGTGTTAAGATTTAAGGTGATCATTTGAATGAAGTCGCTAAAAAACTCTTAGCAATGTACTAAATCCTTCAGGGAGTATTAGTTCACTCAAAGTTACAAGTATACTTTGTTCATGCATACTAAACAGCGCGAAACCAAGATCTAGGGTCTCCTCCAACCATCACATTACAGGATCACATTTTCCATGTTGTTTTTAAAAATTCGTATAAAATTTATTTCAGATTTGGTATTCTCTTACTCTTCTTTTCATAGTTTTTTTGAATATTTGACTTTTAGCGTATGTTAAGTCAAACAGAATGGGCTAATAAACAAATTCAAGGCATTATACAAGCATTACATGCCGATTTAATCACAGCCAAATCACAAGAGACTAATTTGGCTCAATATATCGGCAAACTTGTTTCGTCTATTCAGTCACCTGTTAGTGGCGGTGTCCCGAAATTAGTTGTAAGTTCTGTTTGACTATTTGTCTTGTTTGCAAAAGTGTATTTACTTATTCGGAATCTTATCATTTTGACTATGTATACGTGTAACGTTTAGACTGTATATGTCTGAAGTTTCCATGATTTGTATCGTTCTGTTTACTAGACGTAATTATTGCCTTAACAGACCAAAAATTTTATAATTTTTATTGACAACATTGTCTAATTCGCTTATTTTGACTATTGTAATAACAAAATTATGAATTTCCGACTATAGAGTTTGATGATGCAGTTATTGAAAATATTTATGCGTCTCAATATTCTCTGTTCTGGTTACATCTACTATTATTGATCTACTGCTAGATGAAATTAGTTGATACCAATTAATGTTCAAACAAACAAAAAGTCATTAGTCAACCAGTGATAAACAAAATAACAATCGGTGTTGATCCGGTTCAAATAGCTACCACACTAATTTACATCAATACATTAAATGAGAATAAATAGTTTTTTACACATTCGAAATCATCAATCAATCATTGTTAGACCACCATTAGAAATCTGGAAGCACTGGACATTAACACCGTTGGATGCCGGCCCAGTGGTCCGATGGTTAGGCGTTCGCACACAATACCGAAGGTCCCGGGTTCGAATCCTGAGAGGTGCAGGAGTCGTGGATGCGCACTGCTGATGAGTCCCATACCAGGACGAAACGACCGTCCAATGCTTCCAGGTCTCTAATGGTGGTCTAACAATAATTGACTGATGATTTCAAATGTGTAAAAAACACAAACCTCCAAAACTCTGCCCGGAAATCAGTAGTTTGAAGAATAAATAAATCGATATAATACTAAAAGCAATCACAGGAGTGGTGTATCAGTATTATTATTATGGGTTTGAAACTTTGTCGGTTCTTGTTGATATATGTGTATCCTGATTGAGTTAGCGCGATGCACCCAATTTATTACCAGTTTTCTGTCATTGTCAACACTAGTAGGTTACAAGTTTATTCAGTTAATGAGTTGCAAATAGGTCGAAACAGGTGTCTTATATTTTATTGTCAACCAGAATTTATCTATTCTATAAGCAATAAACTCGACCATCGTCAGTCATCCATTCGATTTAGATTACTCGTTTGTATAGCCGACCCTAACATTTAGAGTATCATTTGAAGCCAAGTACACAGCCAAATTTCCTTTAAATGAATAAGCTCATGAAATGTATCTACAATCATCGATAATAATAATTTGTAAGGCTGTTTGCCCAGCCGTCCAGTGTTTCTTTAACTTCAGTTTCATCTTCGCCACTACCAGATGGTGATCTGAAGTGATATCAGCTCTTCTATAAGTTGAATTTATTGCTTCTTTAATCTCATTCATGTTGTTCTCCACGATCGATGGTTGTTGTTGTTTGTAGGTGCATGGTCCTGAATAACACTCATTATAATCCTCCCCTTTGGTTTTACAAGACATCATCGAAATATTATTCCACAAATCACACGTAGTATTCAGATACATTTCTTTATTCTTCAGTAGTTTTGCTTGTTGGTTGACTACTCAGTAGACTAGACTGTTACATTGTTTTATATTTATTTGGCTTCCGCTTCATATTATAATCAATGTTTCAGTAACTGTCCTCTCCTTATGAACTGCATTTTGCTTCTATCTATCTGAACATAGATGAATTTAGACCAGGATCATCATCTGTATAATTTTTTTTAACCAATGAATCCATTTCTGATAATTTTCTCCTCTATATTACAGACAGAGATCAGCAAAATTTATATCACACATAAGAAGATAAAATAGATTACTTCATTTTTACTACTATCACTTCGTCACCGTCAAGATATACATTTTCATACTTATTTGTTGTAATTACGTTTTGTAGAAAGACATTGAACTATCCGATGATCCACGTCAAGAAAAATGTTTCTCTCAATTAGCTGATAGTGTTTTACAACTATTGGAATTACAATTAACATTTTTAAAATATTGGTATGTAAATGATCCTCCACCTCCTCCAGCATCACATCGTTTAGCTGCTACATCTAATGTTGATATAGTTGGTAATACAAGTAGTTCTACTGTTGGAAGTGCTACAGGTTCTGGTAACTATCTCTTATATGAAATGATCGGTTACTATGAAGTACTTGTACGTGATATGAGTCGAAAATTTGGCTTTTCTGTTGATCATTTAAATGCAGATCATCTTCGTTATGGTCCAATATCTACAGATCGTCAAACCAATATTACTAGTAATGTTAATACTAATCTATTATCACCACTTCGTCGTAATTCACGTTCATCACAAAAGTAGGTTTTATTTTCTTTAAAAAAAAATTTAAACTTCTTACTGTTGAAAATTAATCTATTAAAGTAATTTAGTTGTGTTTTTTTCTAATTTTTCTTTCTCCAAAGACTGTGATATTCTCCCAACGTTGGTTAGTCAGTTGTAATCAATTTTGATTTGGAATAAATATAAATTAGCCTAATTTGCTACACTAAATCAGTATGATGATATGAAATTAACAAAATGAATAGCGAAATAATGGTTGTAATAAATGATAATAAAAAGGATTTAATATTGGGATTAGGATTCGAATAGACTGAATGAAAACCTAGAGGAAGACAAGACGTAAATGTACCTGAGCTACTACGACTGATTCTAAGCCTTATCACTCAATATTTTTAAGTACTAAGCAGGGTTATGGTGCGGACCTCAACCAAATAGTTTGTGCTTAACAACCTGACTCATCATACCAATATTCAATAATTTCATGCGTTGATGATACTTTTTGATTTGGTCACCCCTAATTGAATTTCAACTTGCTGCTACGCCGCCCCTCGTGGTAGGCGATTGGCGGGTATATTTAACACATCTTGATCATCTCAGTTGATTGAAATTTAGAAATTCACCAGCCGATTCTTAATTTTGTCAACTACCCTATTCTTGACCTCATTATTATTTATTGATTGTTCTACGATACGCTAACAATGCTTCGAAGAAACCGATGATCAAACATCTACAGCCTACATACATCAGTTAACTCTAGCCATAAAAAAAATACAGAGTAAAATTACTGTTCAATATACTTGCCAATCGGTCAAGAAGTTGACATAAGCCCACCAGTGCTGACAGAACCGCCGACATAACTAAAGTGGTCCACATACTCAATTACTTTACTGACCATGATCAATCTAGGTGATGATATAAACTAGTCGCGAAACCATGTCTTGCATTTAGATGGATTCAGATTTGTTGATTTGTTTCTTATCGAAGTGATTTTTTAGTTTGTTACTCGTCTAAAGTTTGCGAAACGGCCACTCGGAATCTCTATCACACCCTGGTGTTTCCTACTATTTCCAAATGACAATTGCTTGCTCTTCAGCACACACATACAAGTCAGTCTGCGAAAAAATCTATTGTTATATTTCTGTCTTAATTTTGACAAGCACAAGTTTACATACTCAATCTCGGACTGCATATTGTATCCAAATACCGTAATGAAAGAAAACGGTAAGACCAAATGGATTAACAAAAAATGCAGACTATCGGTTGTCTGCTTCTATATATCATCTAGTCTTCAAAACACCTTGATCGCGTAGTTTATAGTACGGCAACCTGAACTGATGTACTTACTTACGAAGTTCTGTGTTGTAGCTTACTGACCATATATTCGGATCCGACACCCTTCACTTCATCAGTAACTTCAGGGTAACACTCCACTGTATATCCACTGCATACTACTTACAAACTACGTTGTGAGTAGTATACACCATAACACTACTACTTATCTGTCCGAATTTGAATAAACAGAGTGTATGGTTTGAACTTAAGATTTACTTTTGTGGTGGATAATACTCACCAAGGTGTCATATGAGTTGTATGCAGCGGAACGTCGCCTAGAAGTTACTACCAGAGAAGAGTGCCTGGAGATCGAAACGTACCGCGCGATCAGAGTGTATTGAAAACCAGAATAGAAATAGAAGAAGACAGTTAGATGCCTGGATGTTTAAATTTCCTGTTATTCAAGTGATCAATAACTTTTTTCTACTACATAGTTGATAGATGACAATAAACTTTTAGTGTATTAGGAAAATCCTAAATTTTGATAAAAATGAGTTCAATCAGTATTTGAATGTCATATTATATAGTAGTAGTATAATTTTATCGTGATGCATTTCTATAATTATATTATTCATATGATTTAGCATTGTAAATACTGGTGTAGCAACAATTGCTCAGTCAACTGTACCAAGAATATTCTCTAAACCTGATCATTCTGGATCATCTGATCATGGATCATCGATTCGTTCATTGCAAAGATCTTTTCAAACGGTAATTTTCATTATTTTATTGATAATAATAATAATAATAATAAGTTTATCATTATAATTTTAATCGTAACCTCTTAGCATATAATCATATCACTCGTTGAAAGTTAATCTTAACTAGACTGTTGTGTTTTTTTTGAACGAAAAATAATTTGTACAATAGACGACTAATCAGTGTTTAGACTGAATAAACATGTTCACATAGTATATAAATTCACATTCAAATGATGAACGTATTTAGTTGAATTTTTCAATTTGTATCGGTCTGTGGATCGGTTAATGTTTATAAAATATAAATTTTGATTGAAGTCATCAGTCGCGATGGTTGAATACTAATAATAATAATGATACAATGGTCAACATAACACTTTCAAGTTTCCTGTTTATGTTTCTGTGTGAGATTAGGTTAAAAGTACACAGTGCTAAAAAGCTTTAAACAAAAACAAAACGCCTGTTCAATACTCTGTGATTTTCAATAGTTGTACAGTTGTTATTTAATTTATTAGAGTAGTTTACACTGATGTACAGCAAGAAATCATCGAGGATTTACTCTTGTAGACAGAATCCCTTAAAATCATTGAAATTTATTATTGCCATTTCAATCGGTTGAAACTTCAAAGCATTGAACGTTGTTGTATCACTGATACTGATATCTTACGCAGCTACCTGGAGGATAAAGATAAAAGCTTCTGGGTTTTATTCACATGTTAACACAAAAGTGTTATGCCTAACTTACACAGAGTTAATCATTAATAAATAAATAAAAGATCAGGAACAGGAAACCCTTTGCTGACCTTCATTATGATTTGCTAGTATCAGAATTGTTCTACCATCAGAATGATCACACTTCGCGACATCCCTTCGATACTGATTTGTATAAAACGGATGAATAATCAATACAACCCCTCATCCCACTTATACTACTCTATTTCTCACTAAAATCGAAACTTATTTATTTAGACACATAAACATTGGCATAAAGAGGCACTTAAATATATTTATACACCACAAAAATGATCAAATTTTTGAATGGGCTGCGATACTGCCTAGTCGATCAAACCGAAGTAGGTGGTTTTCTCAGGGACCGACACCATAGCCTTTCGCTCAAAAGTCCAATCCACATGACAATGAAGCAACGTATGAAATTGCAGCCCTATAGTAGCTAATGATCAACATTGGGTTAATACTCTGCTTGTTCCATCAGGATCCTGGAACCTATGTGCACCATTGGTTTGGAATGAGGATTTTCCGACTCCGCTAAATGTGTAGTACGTACTTTCCAACCCGGCTTAAGCACTGGATACTCGCTTTACGTCCTCTTAGTTTCGTATACATCGTTATAGTGACTTGAAGATAGTGAATAGCACTTCGTTAATAGTGGTTATACATGAATGGCTATATCAGAGAGTTTCGAGGGGGAGGGCGGACTCTCCACTGTCGATCGTACCATGGCATGAAAAGACTAACAACTGGTAATATACATAAATTAAAAAAATTAAGACTTTATTTTGAACACTCGTAATTGTAATATGACTTTATAAACAAAAATGTTGATTAAAACTGTCTTAACACTTGTTGAAATCATCATTTCAGTCTTTTCATGATGATTAACTTTTTCTTCCTGCTGGAAAAAATTTTCACTCTCTTTTTTGGCATTCTACTCATTCTCAACAATTAAGGTTGGTATTATTACCCAGACTGCCCGTTTATCTGTATTGAAAGAAAATAGAAACTTCACAACCGTTTTTATTCTAATCCTTTAAGATGGATGTAATCATTTGTTTTGTTGGAGCCTCCTTTTGTGTTGTGTATGATTGATTTTTCAGGCTTCTTCATTCTTTTATTCATAGTTCATTTTTCTTTGTGGGTTAATATCATCTGATTTTTTGTGATCATTGCTGAAGTTACACATACGATACTAGGAAATAATGGCAAATTGGTTTGATGAGATCGTTGACATATTTATTACCTATGCCTCGATGGACGACGTTGTTTGGTGTAGCAGTAAAATGGAAGAAAGTTAAAGGATGGTGGAACCAAAATCTGACATCAATCCATGAAGTCGTAGAACTATTGGTATGAATCATGTTGTTAAACACCGACTGCCTTAATGAGGTCTGCTTCATAACCTCGATTTATGGTTGAAGCCATTGAGTGATATTTCGTTCTCTTAGCTGGATGTTTTAATTGTGGAGCTTTCATTGCTCTCTTGCTGAACAACATCATCAGCACAAACTTCAGATAAAAATGAAGTATTCGAATTTCCCCACGTATGACCCGTAGCTTGTTCTGTTAACCTCGATCTTGATTGGTTGTTATTGACCTTAAACCTATCGTTGTTTGCAGTTATTTTGATTGTATCCCCATCTGATTTAATGTTAATATCTGTAGAAATTCAAATACTTCACTTCTATCTGAAGTTTATGATAATAATGTTGTTCAGAAGAACAATGAAAGCTCCAAAACATCCAGCTCCCAGAACTAAACTCCACCACAATCATGTACCTGAGATACAAATTTTCTCCACCATCTCAAAATTGAGTGATATGGCTTAGAATCGGTCAAAATGACTCGGATGCATTCATTGTTTGTCTTTCCTTAAACCTTTAGTCTTAAAATCTCATCATCTATTCTTTCTTCTCTTTATATGTTGTGTTTTCTATTGCTACTACTACTACAAAACAGAGAGGAAACTTGAATACTTACGTATACACCATGAGCACATAACTGCAGAACATATAAATAGTATATAATACTCTGGCAATTGAAGCGGAAGTTACTGGATTTGAATCTCGGTGTGAATATCAACATTGTAACATAGTTACACATTCATTTCGATATAGGATGAAACATACTTCTTGAATTTCACTGCTAGATACATACAAAATATATAAAAGTATACAGGGTTCACATAGAATAGATAGAATGCGGCTGTATCGAGGCAATCCATATAGGATGCCCATATACCAACCATGACTGATCAAATTTCAGTCAGAATATCATCAACGAACTAATCTCAACCGTTTATAATGAAGTTAAATTCTATGGAAGTTGTTCTGAATTCCTTCATTATACCTAAGATATTGCTTGCTTACATCCTGTTACCTCTCGTGGTGCATAGGCCGCCGACTAGTATTCCCCAACTTACTCTGTCCCTGGGCCCTTCCCTTCCAGTTCTATCCAATTGCTGTTTATTCTATTCATGTCTGCTTCCAATTCTCAACGTAATGTGTTCACTGGTCTTCCTCTTTTCTTTCGGCCTTGAGGACTTGTCTTGTGACGCAGTTTGGTGCTTTCCTCAATTTTTGATCTAACATGTATTTACCATTTCATATTTCAATAACTCAGCATTTATTGTTTGTTACATTTACTCAGTTGGATGATTCTTTTGATCTCAATAATGACTAGACGATGATAGTAAACTTCATTAATTCTATGGAATATAAACAGGATACTGTTCATATTCTTTATATGTTTATGTTAATGTATAATTTTTTTTTTAATATTTGACAGACATTATGTGAAGTTGTTTATCTTGATCTCTCTCTCTTTTTTTTTTCTCTAAATTTATAAATTAAGTTGAAATTTTTGTTTCAAGTCTACATCACTCACTCACTTTCAAGTATTCCATGTGTTTGATAATTTGTTTACTTGGTTTATTTACCATGCTATCACGTCATGATTATGTAGCATGCGATTAACAATTAAGGGTGATTTTTTGAATTCAAGTATACATATGTATATATGTTTATTCAGTTGTACAATGTTTTATTCTAACACGTCTTGAACCTTTGATCATAGTAATTACGTATTAGTTATAAGTAGGTACTTTTATTTCAAGTGTAAATGTGAATGAGTTTATAGTTCACTGAAAAAAAAAAATAATCGTCATCACATCATCCGATACTCTATGTCTAAGTATATAATGTGATTCTTAGTAAGAGAAAAAAGAAGGATGCTAGAACATGTTATTATCATGAATTATTCTTACTTGGAACTTAATTTACAAATAATACATTATTAAAATGAGAATGAGAGATATGTAGAGACTTCAATTGATAGAATGTATACAACACTAATTTGACATTAACTAGATAATCATTGAGAGAAAATACAACAGTTTGGTACTAATAATATATGATTATTACAAAATCAGGACTATCAAGCTTCTTTACATTTACACTGATAAGTTGTTAACTTAGGTCTATACACTAATAAGGAGCTTCATACTGGGGAAAAATACATTTTGAGTGCTTTTTTTTTCAAATATTGTTTTGAGTTAAATTCAACCTATGATATAATTTAACTTCAATTATATTATAAATTGGTTTTGTAACAGTCGTTCACAACTGGTTATTTCTAACCGTAATTGTTATGTGGTGTTAGTTTTAGGTAACATAGTTGTTATTTGGTAAACTAAAGTTACTTGCGCCAAAACAAGTTTAAAGTATATTTTTAACGCAAGTTTTCAAGCAATTAGCTCCGTTCACTGTGCTGAATTGATGTTTCAGGAGACTTGTAAGAACAAACTGAGTTTAGGTCAAGTGGTTGATGGCGTGTCGGCCACACGCTGAACAGATTAGACACACTGTTTGGATTCTGTGGTTCATTTGGCCATCCCACAGTATACGGCGTTGAATGAAAACAAGTAATCAGAGCTGCATATCATCTGTGATGTCTCAGAAATGGAGTGTAGAGTAGCTATGTACGCTCGTTTACATGAGAGTGATCAAATAAATATAAGACTGTTACTAGCAAGGGCCCAGGTGGCCTCTGTAAGAACTGTTACTATAACACATCTATAATTGTATACAGCCACATTTGCGGTCCGGATGTATAAAGTAATGATCAAGGAATTTGAATGTCCAACAAAGAGTACCTTATTTTGAACAGACTCTGTGAACAGTGTGGAATATTTGGATTTTAAGAAATGCAGCAAAAGACTGAACACGATAGTTTTGGAAGAAATAGAGTAGGAGGGTGCCTCAAACCTAGCAATTTGTCTACGAAAAAATTGCGGCCGGATATTCTACTGTGTAATCATCCGGTTTCATCCTTGACAGTTGCGCATCATCATGACATCGGAGGTCACCTTGGCTCCACACAGGTGTTAGCCAGCATCCGAACTGAGTATTGGATTCTCAAGGGAAGATCGAATAGTATGAAATGTGTGAAGTGCAGATGGAGGAATGCTCGTACGGGGCAACAAATGATGACACTCATCTTTGCCTGGAGAATGGGAGTGGGCAATTATCCATTTGAGTTTGTTGGAGTTGACCTGTTTGAAGCATTTGTAGTTAAGAGAGGGGGACACAACTGTAAGGGATATGGCTGTATTTACTCGTTTGAAGATGGAAAGTTATGCACATTGAGATGGCTCACTCCTTATCGATTGATGCTTTCATATTAGCTGTTCTTAAATTCATAAATCGAAGAGGTACCCGAGAGATGATGTTTCACAATGGATAGCAGCTCTCCACGGTCACTAGCTTAATGAGGATTGAACCCCTACTCTACATCACAACACGGAAATTCTTTATGTATTCTCACTTCTGAGTCCCTTAACTACCTTCTCAACTCCAGCTGACTACCTACTAAATTTGTCCCTTCATTGCTAAACATCATCTCTCGGCTTCCTCTTCAATTTATGAGTTTAAGAACAGCAAATATGAATGTGTATATTTTTTCTGATGTCCCACTCGATATCATATTCAAATTCAAACAACATCTCATACCTATTACACTTTCGAGGGTTGTTTTTTATGTGTTAAGGAAATATGGTAGAGTGTGTTGTCATTAACAATGAATATTCTTCCCTGATGATTATTTCCATTGTTAATATCAAATATTTGACATCACTCTCTGTCTTCGTACCCACAGTTTGTCAGTTTTTTTTTCAAAGTTTTATTCTATTTCTCTTGTTTATTAGGTTGGGAGTGGACGTACTCCTCTAGAATCGATTACGTATTCATCACCAATAAATAGTAAGTTTATTTTGGTTAACAGTTTTTTGTTTCGTTGTTTTGACTGTTAATATGTCTGTCTCGCAATATTAATAATAATAATAGTAATAATAATAATAATAATAATAATAATAATACCGTAATAGCTGAATAATAACTGCCTACGCGACTAGACCCACTGATTTATTATACAGACTGTCTGACAGTCAAAAGGACTGATCAGCTGGCTACATATTTAATACACTTTTGTAATATGAATCACTAGTGAAATATATCAAAATCACTGTTATTTATGCAAACAAGGGTGTAATTTATTATTATATGAAATAAAATATACTTCGTCTAGTGATTGACAATTACTTAACTACTAGTCAAGAATAAAAATGTAAATCATGAAACAACCTTATTCAATTCTTATTGTAAACAGTAAGATTGTTTTTTGATTCCCGTTTCTTACATATTCGAAATTATTAAGCTTGAACGCTGAACTCTTGTAATTCAGACTTCCTAATTGTCTATCGTTGGATTTATATCTCTTGATCATTACCGAACGTCGAATGACATCAATAGTTCATAATGTGGCTGAAAATTTACTTGATCTAATTCTGATGCCGTAATCATATGTTATTTATATGCGGTTGTCTGTGCCTTCAGAGTTCTTCGAGCTTGTAGAAACCTTGCTGAACCAACTTGCTTAGACGATAAAGTAAATACAACTTCTAAAGCTAATTCATTTTACCAAAAGATATTGATTTTTAGAACTTTGGACTTTATCGCTTTTATATTACATACTTACTCACTTAATCAGTGACTCTGAAGTAAAAATCAACAAGAGGAAATGAAATCACATTTAATAGTCAGTAGACTGTTACTGTTTATTCACTCACTTACGCCTGTTGCCCCCAAGGGAGGGTGGGCCTCTGACCAGAATTCTCCAGCCTACTTTGTCCAGGGTCTTCCTTTCCAGTTCGAGACTCCTCTTAAGTTGTCTTCAAATATTTTCGAACGTTTTAACACCGTTACTCATATTTCATTTACGTTTATTTGGAAAGTTTCAGAAAGGTAAACATTTTATTATTTTTTTATTGGCTAGAAGAGTTCTTCATCAATAGGTTTATGTTAGAGTTGAGATTGAAATATTGAACATCCTTATTGTTGGTGTTTTCACAACTGAATTTTAAATTTAAAGTAAGAAGTCTTCAGTAACTTAAAAAAATGCCGCTTTCTCAAAATATTGATTAATGCAGTAGGATTTTGTAAAATGCGACCCAGTTGCTACGTCTGCCTAACTGCTTAGACTGAAGTTGGAGATTCCTGATAAGATCCTATCAATTATGTCACAATATGACTATTAATCTAACTGATTGGATGTTGTGTAACATTTTTTTAGTCTCAACTTATTTACAATAATCGGGACAAGATCTTATTTGACCTAAGTTTCATGGTAGCTTGCACTTGTTAACATGATGCATTTATAATCTTAAGGGCATTTATTCCCCTGTCTAGTTTGCTATCGCACCACCCAGTGTCACAATCAAAAATGTTACAACTTAGCTATTCTCCTCTAGAATCATATGTGACCTGCTTTTTCATACCTTGCTTACTCACGCCTGTTTTCCCCTCGTGACATAACCTTACAAAAACCAGCTTGCTGCTCTCACAGTTGAACGTTTACTGAATCGTCCATTTAGTCCAACAAAATTCTGTTAGAAACCTTATCTGGTGCTGATAGAAGTGGACGAAGTTTTTCATACTTATTATTTACTATTTCAATTCATTTATGGTAACAGTAGAGTTTTACGGTTACATTCATCTTTTTCTCTTTTACTCTCTATCATAACAGGATCCAACTCTTCCTTCAATATCTTATCCGCAGATCCCCCAGCATTACCGGATCGTCCAATTTTAACAAAACCAATTCAATCGACAAATGTTTCTAGTGGTCGACCAACGACATTGAACACTACAAACAATAGTATTACACCTGTCAATAATCCTGTTAGTATCGTTAGTGGTGATCATGATAATTCTAATAGTCAACGTGGAAAATTCATTACAACACCGAATGATGATTCATACACTACTCAACGTCATCAAGACAATATTACTACCATGGATTCTAATCTAGATAAAGGCAAAAAACAAATGCATAGTCCAGTAGTAACTTCAAGGTTTGAATCTAGTCCTAATACAATGCGAAATAGATCACGTCCATTGCCTCCACTACCACCGACACCGATTCGATCATCATCAATTGCACGAACAGAGAATTCAACCAATCATCATCATCATCATCATCAACATCATCAGTCGAAACAAATAAATCCTGTAAGTAATAGTATAAATGGAATTATACTTAGTGGTAATAGTGAAACAGCGCCTCCATTACCAGAGAGAAAAGTAAGTTCTATTATGGAATATTTTTATGTTTGTGAATAATCTCTTATCTGTTTGTTTGTTTGTTTTGAACATTATGTTGTTGATGGGAGTATACTCTGGTGATCATTTCTCAAGTGATATTGATTCATGGTTTCAGAATAACTAACTTCTCAACTGGTATACAATTCCCATACATATATACACACACACTTTCAATGTATTCTGCTTGTATCCTAGTTTACAGAGAAGTGTTGTTGCTTTAAACTGAATCTTGAAACAAAATAAATAAAGTTTGTTAGGTGTCGTACATTTAATAGACATTTTCTTATTTGCCTTTGATATGTTGGTTAATTAAACTAGCTGTATATATGTGTGATTATTCGAAAAGTACTTGGACATAATTAATTTCTATATTACTTTATATATTATGTACCATTGGTAGAAGAATTTGAAACATTTTTAATTGTCACATTTGAAATCTGTTATAATGCTGCTACGTAGCTATTCAAATCCTACCGACGTCCGAATTCTATTATTCCAATAGGACCCAAATGCTATTCCCAATCTCCGATATATCAGAACGCAACACCGTTAGATGGAGTTGTTTATTGGGTCGAGTACAGTAGAGAGGAAGGCAGGAAGGAACGGAATCGGAATCGTGAAGTCTTACAGATAGTGCATATTTATACATTTAGGTCGAATAGGAAAGAGCATCAAAGTCTGTGACATTGACAGTTTAGGATGAACAATAGGAAAGAACATTTGAAATGACATGACAGTCCGGATGACCAATAGAAATCGACCAATAGGATTATACTTCCAAAAATAGTACTCTTAGGATATTTGATGAATATCCTAACAAAATCACAAACTGATCTAAGTTGGGCAGCTATTAAGAACTTGAAAGCATTGGAAGGTTGTTTTTTCCTAGTATTACACCTCAACCACAGGACCTTTAATCTCGTGCGCGAACGTTTAACCCTCCTAGACCACTGAGTTGGCACTCAACTATACTAATGTTTAACTTGAATCAGTTTGTAATCTTGCATAACCCTTTATCCATTGTTTGGAGTTGTTTATTTAATTCTTCTTACGATCTATGGAATAAATGGACTTTCAATTTAAACCATATATCTACTGAGTTTAGAAACAATAAGTTTTTAACTTAATCGAATTCAATGTTGTTCCTAATATATCTTCTGCTGTTTTCTTTTTTCACCAAACTAAAGTACATCAATTTCCCAATCTTGTTTTTCTTAAAGCTTATATAAGTTTTAAGAAAGCTTATTATATTTTACTTTCTTCATTTATGTTCTATGCTCTCTACTTCAATACACTACTTTACTGTAAACAATTCAGAATAGTATCAATAAACCTCATCAATAAAGTTTTAGACTGAAATCTCAAAGCATTAAATACTCACATTTGTTACTCCCCGTGGGGCATACGCTACTGATCAGGGATTGTCCTATTAATTCTGTCCTAGGTACTCTCCTTTTTCAGTTGTTGTCAAATGACATTCATACTGTTGATGTTTATAATCTTGTTTTATTAGGAAGAAGATTAGAGGAATGGTAACTTGAAGGACTGATTTATGGATGACTATTATGTATAGTCTTATTGTAGAATTATTCAATAATTGGATTATTATATGTTTATGCATTCCTGATTAACTCATTGACTACTGTTGTGCAAATTATTATTTCTAATCTATTATTGCCAGTTTGTTATTTACGGTCTCGTTTATTCACAGCCACTTTTGGCTTGCTCATATGGTGTGATGTGGTCTAGTATGTTTGATATATAAACTAAGTGTACTTGAAATATGACGAGTTTTGTGGAAACTTGCTTCGAACTGGACTAAAAAGTAAAGTCGAAAGAAAGAAGCTATAGAGTTGTGGAACAATACAGATTTAGATCTCACTCACGGTTTCTGATGCCAAACGTAATTCTGATTAGCGTCCTGTATTTGTCACGTTATATTGGTCAGTCATTGGGGATACAATAAATCAGTCCTTTGTTCTGCCTATTTTCCTTTTACCTAACCCTTACAAGTTACAAATAAAGAACCTTGCTAAGAAGATTGCTAGACAGAAAAAAATGTAAATTATACGAGCAAGTATACAAACTTGGAATACCTATTAGTGATGGTAGTGTTTAACTTGGTAAACAATTTTCAAACTTTCATTTAGAAGCTGTAATGTCATTAATTAGGTAACCGTCACCTTCATTAATTAACTAAAGTTAGGGGAAATATAAGCATTCAAATCCTGGCTCAATATTATCATTCTTACCTTGTTATTTGAATCTGACAATTCTTGGTGGAATCATAGTTATGCATACCTTAAAAGTTTTAAGTTTGAGTGAATGAACTGCCAATTTTTTTTATTTTCAATGAACTTTCAGCTGGTATATCTCTTCACTTTATTTGTTTTCTTATTTAATGTCTGAATGAGAATTTTTGCAATACTGAAATTATTTTTATATTGAGAATCAAACTTCATATAATGTATTTAATCACAAATTTTAATGTCAGCTCCTGAACATTATAAAATTAAGAAGGATTTAGTTATGGGTTTAGTATCTCAGTCAAATCTCTCATATCAAAACTCCATATATACCAGTTGTACATTATGTGTATGCAAATTATAGACAATAAAGAAGGTTATCATTAACATAGGAGGTGGAGGTTAGAACTAGAAAGTAAAAAGTTGAATGAACCTATTTGCAGTTATGAAGAGTTATGTGTTTATATAACTTTACAATCTAAAATTTTGTTCAACATTATCTTCCATATTACTGTGTGTATTGTTTAGTTAACTTCTCATCTAGGATATCACAAATAATGATCTCGTTTTAGCATCAGATACGAATGACTGAATAAACACAAATGTGTTGTAGATATTAATGAACTCTTATGAGGAATAAACTCGAAATAATATTTTACATAAGTTTCATTGTTATCACCAAGTGTTGTTATGGCAACCTGAACTGATGTACATACGTACGAAGTTCTACGTTGTAACTGGCTGACTATGGAAATGATCAGACTGAAATATTCTCATTACAAACTGACTAGGTTAGACAAACATACTGGACAGTTATTCAGTTCTGGCGTATGACTCCTCAATAGTGCGCATTTGTGTTGATCCCACATAAAGCTATTTCCTATTAAACTAATGATCATGAGATTAGGCACTTACTACAGGACTTAATATTTCTGAGTTCAATCCCTAGTGGAACTGTGGAAGTCCACTGTTTAGGAATTTCATATCACGAAAAAAAACCTATCTTGTACTTCTTGGTTTTCGATGGTCACTGAACGCAAATCAATCGATGATTTCAAAATTCGAATTTTTTTAAAAATTGATCTTTTCAAGTAATATTCAGTGATTTAACTTTAAATTTTATTCGTTCATTCTAGAAGTTCATTGAATCATATAACTCTTCGTTTGTTATCATCGTTATTTTTCTTTTTCGGCTTTTTTTTTACTTTTTAGACAAAAACATCTAATAGTGTAGCAACTACACCAGTGACACCATCTCCAAAACATCCAACTCAAGGTGTTGATGATGTTTCATCTTTTGATTTCTCTTGATTTATTTTTTTTTGTTAATTTGTGTTTGTTTGTTGTTTTTTTGTTCTATTTCATTTGTATAACACATAAATATGATTAATATACTACTTAATTATTCTTCCTTCTAATAATAATAATAATAATGATAATAATAATAATTAATATCTAGTTTTTTTTTCATCGAATAGAATGGATTAAAATTCACTTGAACAATGAATGATATCATGTGATATAAAGCGCCATACTTGCTATCATCTGTTTCCATTTGCCTCTTTCTGTTTACTAGACAAATCTCTTGATGCTTTTGTATCAACACCACTCATGTTTGATGATTGTGCCTTTATTTGATATATTGTACGTGTTAAGAGTATATAATATTAGTCTTCTTTATTATTTTGTTCCGAACTATTCATCATTGTGTTCTATTGATTATGTAGTCAGTCTGTTGATAATTTTATTTTGTCGATTGATATTTAACACTGTTTCATAATACACTGACTGATACTTTTCAATATCATGATGAACTAAATTAGTAAATTTGAATTCAATTCTTGTTTGAATTAGAATTTTTTTATGTTCAGTTGACTTGTTTTTTTTTTATTCAAAACTCATTTGTTCTATCTTTGAATATCATGATAGAAAAAAAAGCGCTAATAATAATAATAATTTGAAATCTTAACAATGAAAGTGTTCAAATTATAAGTTAGTTTCCATTTACCAATTACACAATTATTCACTTTGATTTATTCCCATTTTTATTTAAATGGAGTATTCAAATTAGTTAGTCTGTTTGTTTTTTTTTTGGTCTGTTTATTTTCATGATTAACAGACTGATCAATTGACAATCGTGCACTAGTAGTAGTAGTAGTAGTAGAAGTAGTAATACAATGATGATGCTTGAAATTAATTTTTCATTATCATCATCATTTTTTCTATAGAATGATTCTCTTTCCTCTTCATTATTTGAACAAATCATCCCTTTTTCATCATTCAGCATTGATTGTCTTATTCATATTTTTTAAAAAGAAATTTCTTGACCGCGGTTTTTTTTCTCTTCATTATTCAACTTTTGATTGAAAATAAACGATCAATAATTTATTTTTTAACAATCCAATGTGTATACTATTATTATTAACAATTGTCACTGATACGCTTTTGGCTACAGTTTGCTCATTTTTTTTGTAACATTATTATTTGTGTAGATTCCCCATTTGTACAACGAATTCAACAACTATTTAATTCAATCATTCTTTTCTTTTTTTAATTGATAACTATTGATGAATCAGAATTTTTAATTGTTTTAGTATTTATACTCATATATATATATATATGAACTTGATTGATGAATAGACTGTTTTATCTCAATCTACAACAGTAAAGATTGATTTAAATTTATTATATTTTTGTTTGATTAAATGAGTTATCTGTTTATTAATATTTCTAAAATTAATATAAAATTTTATGGTATATATATATATATATATACTTCTGAAAGTGGTTAATTCTTCAATAGCTTCCTGATAGATGACACAATAATATGCTTTACTGAATTGTTTAAAGGTATACGGTTGAAAGTGTTGATCACTTCATGTATTTTCAGATTCACATTAGCCATTAGTGAACAAATTATTGACACAAATGTAGAATAACAACTTGGTATTTTCTAACTAACATTATGGTATATGCGAGTTTTCCCATTAACTTATTTGATGACGACTATGTTACACGCTAATCCTTTCTGTGAAACTTTTTTAATGGAATGCGTTGATTTATTCCTTATCCATTTCATTATACACAATGACTCAATGAGTGATTGCAGTTTATACCATCACTAAATTAGATAGGGTTCGACGATATTATTGTGTTATGTTGTGTCGGAGAATCTCGCTTTTTGCCTTGTGTGTGTGTGTTAGGACGTACTGCTACTGAAGCTGCAGCTACACTGGTTGTTTTCTCTTGCATTTGTTGTTGCGTATGTGACGGAAAAGCCACATCTGCGATATCTAGATTGTCCAGCTGCATCCGAGCTGATCACTGTGTTTCGTGCCTCCCTTCAGATGTTGACGTGTTCATAATTCAGTCGATCACCAGAAGAAAGAGAAAGAATAAGAGTAAGCAACCTTGTCTGAAACTCGTCTTCACTTCGGACGAGTCTGTGAACTGCCCTCCTTGCACGATTTTGTAGTTTAATCCATCATAATAATTCCGTATTACGTTAAACATCATCTCAGGCACTGCGTAATGTTGAAGGAGCTTTCATAGTGTTGTCCTGTCCACGCTATCAAACGCTCTCTCGTAGTCAATGAAGTTGATGTTCGATTCAATTGTTGTTGTTGTTGCGATTTGGTCCTTACATGATCGATCCTTACGGAGTGCATCAGGTTGATCTCGAAGTTGGGTGTCTATGGAGTCCTTCATTCTGTCTAACAACAACCTGTTGAAGACTTTGCCTAGTATTGAGAGTAGATTGATGCCTTTGTAGTTTTCACACTTGCTGAAATCGCCCTTCGGTATTTTGATCAAGTATCCTTGTTTCTAGTCTATTGGTACTTGTTCTTCATCCCAAATTTTTTTTGAAGAGAATGCGGAATATTTTTGCAGTTGTTGCCACGTCTGCTTTCATTGCCTCAGCTGGTATGTAGTCTGGTCCCAGTCCTTTGGCTCTTTTTATTTTTCTGATGGTCATACTGATCACTTCACCATTTTCGTTCCTTTCTCCCAGTCCATGTCGTCCCATGATGTCTTCATATCCAGTGTTGTCTATGCCAACCTCGGCATTCAGGTCTCCCATAAGAATCGTCAAATCCTTTGGTGAACATTTCTCGACGATTGACTGCAGCCTTTCGTAGAATTGATCTTTAACATCGTCACTGTAGCCATTGGCAGGTGCATAGCATTGGATGACGTTCATTGTAATTTCCTCTTTCTTTGTTTTGAAGGATGCTTTAATGATCCTGGGTCCATGAGATTCCCATCCCATCAGCGCCTTTTGTTCATGTTTGGACAGCATCAGTGCAACTCCTTGTGTGTGTGAGGCATTTTTTCTTCCAGGCTGGAGAATAACAACAGATCTCCTGAAGCAAGTCTCAGTTGTCCAACCTGCGTCCAACGCGTTCCACTGATTCCAAGCACCTCGAGGTTGTATCTTTTCATCCCTGCATTAATTTGGAACAGTCCTCCGGTCTCCCACAATGTTCGAACATTCCATGTACCTGAAAGAATGGTTTCTCTGGTATTCAGAAGGGGCATCGGCCTCGTGACTTTCGAAGAAACTTGCCTTTCATCATGAAACGTCATAACTCACCTGAATGAAGACCTTCTAACTCCCTGGGCAGACTTAAAATGGTTTGAATTATTTTTTCTTGTTAGCGTTTTTTTAGCGAGTTAGTTCTCCACGGGATGGGGTCTCCAACACTAAGTCCAACCCTCATTTATCTGGGCTTGAAACCGTCAGTAGCCACGGAGGGTCTCCGGGCTTAGTTCTGTTTGTTCACACTCGATGACCAACGACGTTTTCCCTTCACTACCACTTATCAGGAACATAACTTTTGAAGATGTCCAATGGTAAAATGAAACTACGGTGTTAATAGCACCACGTTTAGATTGAGACGGTAAATTAAACAATAAAACGGATGACCTTTATTCTGTTAGTTGATTGGAATATGTTTTACAGTTACTTGGTCACCGCTCATACTGACATTCAAAATTAGAGATAGTGAAATCAAAACATGGCACCAGTTAACGAAACCTTTGACCGTTGAGCTGATTCATATCTAACACAATAATTCCCTTTTATAAATTTAGATAGAACAATGAGAAGACTTAATTGATCTGAAAAACGTGATGTATTTGTATTTCCGAATAATCTAGTCACACATATACTTGTTAAGGCATTTTATATGAACATTAATAAAAGGTCAATTAAATAAAAGTTCAAATAAACATGAGGTGATAATTGTAAATGAAGTAGAGAGAAAATTAACGTACTACAGAAAGAATAAGAAAGGGTTGGAAATTGTCACATTACTGTAGGCCATTCTATAGCTTAGAGATTACCAGGGTAAATTCAAGATTAAGACAAATTGTTCCTGTACACATAAGGGTGCTTTTAATTTAAGAATAGCCAAGGCTTCCATAAACCTCGAAATTCGTCCTTCAACACTTCTATACAGTGTTTTGAAGGCTATCTTGATATCAATCTTCGCCCTGTCTCAATCGATCGATGAGCATGGTTTCCTGTTGGCTCCAATAAATAAGATACATTTATCTTTAACTCGTCCGTGGATTCTGGCCTCACTATTGTTCTTTCATTTCCGTTGACCGATTTTATTATTTGTAGCAGTATATCTCCTGTTCTTGCTTTTTCACAATGACTGACATTATTGTGCTGACTTCATTGTTTTATTTATCTTGTTAATTCTCATCTCCACGTAGTGATACAAAATGTGTAAACTGGAACTGACTCATGTTTACTTTAGTCTCTATATTTGTTTTATCTCTATTCTTTCTGAGTAAAAGCTTCATCCATAGATATCTGTTTAGATTAGGATTTTTAATTTATTTATGGTGTGACTGAAGTTCATTTGCATAAGGAGCATGTTTTTCGGTACTTATAATCAAGGTGACTCGTACGTCTATGGCATTTAACACTAAAGTCTCTGGCGTTATTTAAACTAATCAAACTCTAATTTTCTGCTACAATGTGTGTTGCCAAGATCTACAGGCGATAAGTTCTAATCCCACTAATTGGTTGCATGAGAAACAAGAGGACAAAAAACAAAAGAGAAGGTATATTCGACTACCGAATAATATAGACAAATATTCACGTTTACAAATGTATGCACTTCTTTGGAAAAGAAAGCCTTTAGTGGCCAGAGTGCTGATTCTTTTATTTAAGAACGTTCAAGTATTCTATGAAATAAATCTCCCTTTCAGTGTCCGTATATCATACTTAGGCGAACCCCGTTTTTCTCGACGGCAGAAATAAGGAGCCAAATACGAATTCGGCTGGATGAGTTTATTTCAACCAATCGTTCATACAGACAGACACGAGAATACGTAGTTTGAGAGCAAAGCGAAGCGGTGAGCCAATTTCTAGCAATCAGATATGACTAAGAATTTATAATCGGACAAAAATAAACCAGACAT